TTTTAAGCCCTCCTCCAAGGTTGCTAGATGAGTTTCAACAAGGACAATTCTGTGTCTGGTTATTGCTTTCCATTTCAATGACCAAAAACTTATTTGGCAGCATGGAACTTTGCGGCTGCCAATGTATTGCAACTTGGGGTGGACACACTCCTTATTAGAGCCTATTTTTGTGATATTACCACCCCATTTTTCCTCAAAAAATTGTGATGTACTAGAACTGTTTAGTGAACATGTCCTGTAAATTTCTTGTTTCTATGTTGCTTCATTCTCAAATTAGACACAAAAACATGCTGTTCCTTAACTTTTGAAAGGCAGTGTATATAGAGCATGTGAGTGGAATTTGATCTTGTGAGAATGAACCTTGACATGGTGACATAAAGTATCTGAAACCTGGTGAGTACTGTTATTGACAGCAGTCACAAATATGAGCACCTGTATATGTGCTTCAGATAGAATACAATCAAATACAGAAGATAAAAATGGTACCTGAAGTACTTCATGTGTGTTCTCATTTTATAAGCCATTCTTCATTTACATTTCTTAGACTCCATTCTGTTAGATAAGTCTACATATGATGGCACAGTTATAACTTACTGTCTGATTCATCTCCTTTGTTTTAGTACCTATTCATTTGTAAAAAGAATTTTTTTTTTTATTTCTGTTATCCCTTGAAACAATATAGGTACTGCTTCATTGTCTTTTAGGGATTATGCTAATATATCTGAATCCTTTACTTTCATTTGTAGAGAAAATACAAAAAGAATAGTGTGTAGTATATTCTGCAGCACTTATGCATTAGTGTAACTACCTTAGCAGAAGCTGCCAAAATTTCATTCTGCTTCAAAATATCGCAACCATGCACATAACAATTCTTTAGACAATCATGTTAATAATAAATCTTCAGTTTAAACAATGAATACTGCTATTTCTGTAGACATTTCTTTTTTTTTTTTTTTTTTTCTTGTATTCCAAGTTTCAGTGGTTTCAATAGACAGATAGTGATATCTTTTTTGGTTTCTAAACTCAATTTTAAAATGTACAATCACTGGGATTTACTTGCTATGAAAGAAACTACAGTAAAATTTCTGCAAAAAATATTGAGTTCAGCCACAAAGTCACTAAAGGGAACAATTGCTTTGAATCTATTTTTAAAATGATCACCATAAAATTTTCAAGTACTCTTGCGTTATCCGTCCATCCCTCCCGCAAATTCGCCAATTATTTGCCAACCTGACATGAGAAAAACAGTAACCATCTTAAAAAATGGTGTACATAAAACAGTAAAGAATAATCAAAATTAGAAATGCAAGAAACATCTATGAAACAGTAAAATTACATAAATAGTAATGAAACAGTAAAAATTACATAAAACAACTCTACTCTTATATACACCATAAGATCACCAAATGTGGCGATATGTGTTCTGTGCTGGTTTTTGGCACAATTGCATGCTGTGTGATGGTTTTGGGGACAATTTTGTTTGTATGGCAACCCTTTTGATGTTGAAACTTAACTCTTTTGCTGCAGTGGTTTAACTGCTCGTTGGTTCGTGTCGTGCATGTTTTGAAATGGCCTATGTTGCAATAAGAGACGTGGTGGCAAGATTTCAGTCACGTATTTTAGATCATGTGCAAAGTAAGTTTAGTATTAAAAGGCACGATGTTGGAGTTGTTAACGAGTCTTTTGTTCACGGGTGTGTTTATAAAGATCACAGTGTATTTTTGGAATTTCTGCGGGAGTCAGGACTTTTAAAACGGAGTTTGGCATGTCCGAAATGTGGAGCTGATATGAGAACTCGGACGAAGAATGGTGTTTCTGATAGACTTGTGTGGGTTTGCAGTCAAATGGTAGCTGTTAACGTATGTGGCTGCCAGCAGAGTTTAAAATCTGGATCGTGGTTTTCATGTAGTAAGTTAACTTTGGAGGAAGTTTTTATTGTTACTTTATGATAAGTGCATTTTATTTTATTGTTTTTATTTTGTAGAATGTTATGTTCATTGTTTTTTTTACTATGAATTTCTGTTGTTATTGTTGTTTTCTGAAGTTTTTGTAATTTATTTTAGTTTATTTTGTTGATTTGTGCATAATGCCTAGATTGTGCAATTCATAGATTTTTTTTTAAAGTTTAAACAGAATGCTGCGTACATGGTATCCTTTGAAATTTATTGTTGTTATGTTAATTTATTAAAGCAAGGTGTGCACAGTTCTTAGATTCCTTCGCTGCCTATATTGTGCAATTCGTAGTTTTCTTTTTTTTAAAAGTTAAAACATTTTGCTGTGTACATGGATCCTTATCAAATATTTTTGGTTAGAAACTTTGTGTTTCTGCTATCTAAATCTTTTGTTTTTGTTTCGGATTTTTAGCTTAAATTTTGCGCAAAAACCACATTTTTTGAGATATTTTAGGCTTAAAGTTTGAAATGTAGACAAAACATTTAGATAGTAATATAGCACCATAGAGTTTCTAGCAAAATTATTTGACGAGAAATTTGTCGCCAAGTGAGGGCATATATAAGAGTAGTTCCCATAAAATATATACAGTCAAAAGTCGTTAATTCAGACACCCATAATCCGGACCTCAAAGCTACAAACTTTTTGCGCATTCGCGTAAGACCTTTACGGCTGCGAATATGCTTGTGCGCGTGCACAAAATACGTTTACGAGTGCGCATTTAATGTCTAACGGACGGTATAAGCTCAGCTAAAATTATCTAATTATCTATTTCAGTTAATGTTGCAGATTGCGTTGTTCCTTAATCTTTGAATTGAATCTGGCTTATTATTTTTTGCTGACCGTTAGAGCAATTTTATAAAAGTAAGCTTGAACTTTTGATTATGTCAAATAGAATTTCTGATATATACTTATTAATACGTAAAGGATCTACAAAGCGAAGGTATGTTTCGAAATTCATTAAACAAAAAGTGGAATTGCTGCAAAAAAATTGATAAAGGCATATCCTTTGTTTATCTAAACTTTTTTTTATCTTTAATGCCGTGGCACGCAATGAATTGGAAGTTGATCTGTCAGCACAAGTCTTATCTTCAGGGCAGATGTTTTTATTTTATTTGGCTTATAATTCCTTACTAAATGTAGTATTTCATCTCGATGTACTCCATCTTTGATATGATTTAAATCAAATTCCTCGCCATTATAATTCGCTTCCGATAGCGAAGAAAGCGACAGAGATTATTGAAAACGAAAAAATTTCGATTGACAAATTAGTCGGAAGACACAGCAATTATAGGACTTCAACAGCGGAACTTTGTAACTGAACAAGAAATTATGTCTGTTTATAGAATTAAAGAAAATGTATTATCACATAAAAAACGAAGCAACTTAAACAACTTACATTGAAAGAAATGTTTAATAAAGTAAACAAATAAATATTAAGCTTTATTTTTGTAAATTTTGATACCCTTTAGATTATAATTGTTCTTTATTTCATAAATTACGGTTTCATATTTTTAATTTTATAATTTCTGCATGCCATCTTACCAGATTTAAACTGATGATCTATACTCCAGAAAAATCGATAATCCGGAATCACCGAAGTCCCGACGAGTCCGGATTAACGACTTTTGACTGTATCCATAACAAAACACTCAGAACTTCATAAAACAATAACAAACTAAAGAAGACAGCAACCATAATAAAACATTTAATTTTGCATTTTCTCAATAGTCTGTCTAGGTGCACAGCAGTCTGTTTTAACTGTCTAGGTGCACAGCAGTCTCTTAAGAAAAAAAATCAGAGACTTGCAGAATTCTTGGCATCACGGAGTAAACTGGCACTGCTCTTTGGGTATACAAACTGTTTTGCCTTTAAAAAGTTAGAGAATTATACATATTATCTTCATGGAATGCACATTCCTACACTCTCTACTAGTAGGCAAAATACTAGTTATACTCCATGCTAGTGCTTTCTACTATATTTCTGAAAAAATGTTTTCTTTTTCATTAGAAGATATACAGTGGCATTATGATTCATAACAAGGGGAGAAAAATCTACACGTCAATCACAACAAACAGAACTCTTGAATTTCAAAGCTGCATGACTACTTGAAACAGACAACAGCATTACTCACTGCCATAATGCAAGTACAACCATCTTGGACTTAGCTTTCTGCATGTCTTTTGCATAATGTGCATTATTTAAAAACATTACGTACCTCTTAACTCATTTCAGAATTTTGGTGCAAAGATTGTGATCAATGACAAGTTTATGGAATTCTCTGATTTTTCTTTTTAACGAAAACAGATTGCTGTGAACATAGAAAAATTGAAAAGCATACATTCTATCCTATCTGGTTCATTTGCATTTCTGCAGCTGAGGACGGTGGTTCGGTAAAACCGTCGAAACTAGTCCTGTGAAAATTTTAAAATATAATGCTGATTTTTGTTGTTTACTTCTGAATAAGCATACATGTCTTGATTGGAAAAAGAAAAGTCTAAATAAATAGGCAACTCTGAATAAATAAATAGGCAACTCATTACTGAAATAAATGCAAAGGTACCTAAATAAATGTTTCTCCAATGAGTCACTAACAAGTTTCAAACGTTTCTTTAATGTGTCACTGAGAAGTTTCCTAAATGTTCTCCAAAGTTAGTGATGAGTTCATGACTTTTCAGTGGGAATGTAGATGATGAGAAAGCACTCAATACTAATTAAAATGCAAAAAGACATATGTATTTACATGCATGTAAGCAACAAATAGATTTTGGATTATAAATCTTCAATAAAAGAGTAGCCAAACTGTGCCAATGCAGTTGCACCAATAGATGAGTATCTACTCTGAATTATTTTATTAGGATATATAACATAATATACGTTATATTATCTTACTTAACGTTGGTAATGTTGTATTGTGCATTATTAAGGAATTAAAACTCTATAACCTAAAAACACGTATCTGAAAATATCGAAAAAGCATCTTTCAATATTAAACTGTGTTCATCTTCACATGCCTAATTTTAAAGAAAGTATTACGATTCTGTACATACCTGATCCGTATCTTCTATTCTCAATATAAATTTTCCTTCATTTTTACGTGCAAATAAGTAATTATAAAATGCTGTTCTTAAACCACCTAAGTGCAGAAAACCAGTAGGGCTCGGCGCAAATCGTACTCGAACATTAGAATGTACACATCCATAACATCGTACAAAGACGCAAGTGAAAATTTTTGGCACATGCATCAACATTCTCAATTAATTCAGTGAAACTAAATATTGTACCGCTTAGTTAAATAAGAAAATTAAAAAATTGCAGACTATCTTTTTTAATTCCACAAAATCTACTCAACGAAATTGGACATGGAACACATAGCAAATTATTACTTTTTAAAATACCCTTAATTCCGCTTAATCTCAGCATTTCCACTCATTGGAATACAAGAAATGCGCATAGTACGGAAAGTTTTCGTTTTCAACTTTCGCAGACAATGTGTTGCCAGTTCGTATACATAAATTTTATTGCTAACAGCAAAATTTTGGAAAGGTGAATCCTGCTAAGCTTGATTTTCGCGGCAGAAAGACTTAGCGGGTGCAAAACATAATATATGTGTACTTCTGTCTAAATCGGATAACTAGACACTTCTTCAGACGTTCAAACACGATATCAAGATAGTTTTAGTATTTGTGCGAAGTTCCGAATCATTTATAAATTTAGCGTAAAACTTATTTGAAATATTTATTATTATATTCTTGTGCCTAAAGTCATTGAAATACCACTGCTATATTTTTATTAATTGGATATTCATATCATTGATGCTTGGTTAAAATATTAATGGTTAAAGGTAAAAGAATACAGTGTTTTAAGTCCATGTTTAAAGGTATTAGAATACAGTGTTTCAAGTCAGCTGATTTCTTATAAAAGAACATGTGAAGTTCTATGGCATTTGTTTGCTCTGGATTGTCTTAAAATTGTGAAGTTTTGATCTACTAACAGGTATGGAGTGTGCACAAGAAATGGATGAAGATATAGATAGTGATGTGTCAAACATAATTCCTTTAAGAGACGAATTACAGAAATGTAGTGATATTTTAGCAGAAGAAGGTACATTTACTAATGAATTTTTTCATTCTGGCTCGAACATTACTCATGTTGATCAGGTCAATATTAGCTTACCAAGCTTTAGTAAAACTGATGTTAACTTACCAAGTTCCAGTAAAACTGATAATTTTAAGATCTACGAAGAAGATATACCTTTTATACCAAAAGAACAAGAGGACGAATTGCTGGGTCTAGGTGTATCTATGTATGATCAAACTGAATTTGAAAATGAAGTTATTGGGCAAGTGGACAAAGCTTTGAAAGCTCAAGTAGAACAGAAAAGAAAGACTGATTTACAGAGAGAGTTAAAGACAGTTGCAGAAGATATCCGGTAGGATATTTTCAGTTTTAATTATTATGTATATAAAGCTTTGATATTCACTGTCTTGAAATTCATTTGTTTGATTAATTGCCATATTAGGTATGCCAAACAAAGGCTCAGTCACATTGACAAAGCTCTTTTGATGGCTCCAAAAGATTCGATGTCCATAAGTAATGCAGCAAAAAGAGAGCTTGCAGCTATAAAAAAGGAGCAAGAGAATAAGGTAATTTTATTTATTTAATAATTATTATGAATACTTTTTTATCTTGTGTATTTTTCTGTTTACTTCTGCAGGTGATTTTTTTGCCTGTAGATAAAGTAAAATATGTCAAAACAACATTTAACATAGTTAAAGGGAGGAAAGTAAAGAATCACCTACTGCTTGGCACGTTTTTAAGAATCGCACAAACTCCGTATCCATGTACACATCAACCTATTTTCACTTAAAACAACATCAGAGAATTGCGCACTCCCTTGACTTTTTCTATGTACACATTGATCTAGTTTCAATTAAAAAGTCAAAAGAAATTGACAAAAATCCAGTTCTTCTTGCTCTTGTAAAAAGCACTAAACAAAACATGCCAAATAAGTGGGCGATTCTGCACTTCACCCCAGTTAAGGCCTTTGAGTATACTATCCACTATTTAGCCCAGTTTTTATAAATGAATCACAAGTTAGAAATCTTCTTTTAACAAGTTAAAGAGTTTGCTTAACTCAAATAGAAAACAAATAGAGTATAAATCAGAGTTATAGCATTTAAATTGAAGTGTTGAAATAAAGAATTGGCAAGATACTCATTTATAAATTTTATGTATCTTCAGGCTTACCTGTTAGGCAATATTATCAAGAGTATATTCCATAAAAGAAATTAACGTGCTGAAAAGAATGAAGCACAAATAAAAAGTACGAAATCTCTTTTTAAGACTTTTTTGCATCAGAACACAAGTAGAATCCTGTTGTCTTCAGCAAAATCTCAGATTTATCATAGAGGCATGCTCTCAGACTTTCGTAGAGTGTAATGTGGCTCGTTTAAGGGCATTATGTGCTTCTTTTTTTTTCCCGTTTTATTTTATAAATTTGATGCCAAGTTGATCCAGTTATCTGATGTGTTTTTACCAAAAACAGTTTTCTCTGTGTACACAGGAGGAACAGTGATGCAAGAAACCAAGAAATGTGCTTATTTTATGTATGAAAAGAAGAATGTAAATAATAAGTGATTCTGGATGCATCACTGAAATAGACACAAGGATATGTTTCCTTCCAAATTCTACGATGAATTCATGAATTCTCTCCATAGCCATTAATGCCTTCACAACTTTTCATAGTGGGGGGGGTGCAAATAGCATTGTTTTTTTTTAAGACAAAGGAAAAATTTAATACTATGTTTACGTACATATAATACTTTATATACAGGGGCGTAGCTAGTATTTTCAGCGCCCAGAGACAACTGAAGAATTTGTGCCCCTTTCTGTGTGCCAAGAATGGAAAACATTTCATTAAAAATTTTGTAGCATCAATTTGGCGCCCCTTGGATGCTGCCCCCGGGGACAGATGTCCACCCTTGCCCCACCCTAGCTACGCCGCTGTTTATGTACCAAATAATTCAGGATTTTTCTCAAATATAACAAATCATACATGAAATTGAAGGAAAAGTAACCTAGTTTTTCCTATAAGTGCTCAATGTGTGCGCCTTAAGTGATAACGGCACACATCCAAACGAAAATGCAATTCTTCCCATACTGTTTGCAGCAAGTCCGGAGTAATGGAAGCAACAGCCTGTGCAATTCTACCTTTCAAGGTTGGTAAATCGTGGGGTAGGGGTGGAACGTAGACCCGATCTTTTACGAAGCCCCAAAGGAAGAAATCACAAGGCGTGATGTCAGGTGAACGAGACGGCCAGGGTAACAGAACTCTGTCGTCTGGACCGTGACACCCAATCCAACGGTCAACACTTCGACATTTAACCAATCTCGCACAAAGAGACTCCAATGAGGAGGGGCTCCATCTTGTTGCCAAATAAAGTTTGCAGGTTCACTTTCTACTAATTGGGAAAAGAGCCATTGTTGTAGCATATCCAGATAAGAAACCCCTGTTACTGTAGCTTCAGCGAAAAAAAATGGTCTGTACACTTGTCGTTGTGAAACAGCACAGAAAATGTTTATTTTTGGAGAATCTCTTTCGTGTTGTACAAGTTGATGAGGATTTTCTGAACAACATATACGAACATTATGGGTATTTACCTTCCCACTTGTATGAAAAGTCGACTCATCACTGAACACCACATGATGCAGAAAGTCATTGTGCCATTGAAGAACTTCACATGCAAAACGAAATCGTACTGCACAATCATTTGGCTTTAATTGCTGTACCAACTGTAATCAGTATGGACGCATGTGTAAATTTTTTTAGTCCAGACTGTCGTCTTTGGCAACTGTAGTTCATGACTTGCTTTCCAAGCAGATTTCTGCGGCCTACGATGGAAAGATTCTTCGACACATTCCATATTCTCTACAGAAACTTTGGGTGTTCCGGGCTTTTACCTTTACAAAAGCATCCGGTCGTTTGTCGATACCATCGGCGGATATTTCTGTCACATGGGGGATAACATTTAAACTTTAATCGGAACGCACGTTGAACGGCAATTACCGAATCACTCTTAGCAAATTGTAGAACACAAAACGCTTTATGCTTAGAAGTCGCCATTTTGAATAGATGACGCTGCAACTGTGAAAACGATGTAGCGGTACAAGTGCATGCGCTTATCTGAAACTGTTGGAGTTATTCTTTATTCGTCACCTTCAACCACAACTGTCGAACGATTACAGCTTTACACCAATGATAATACAATTTGAAACTCGGACATACAATTACAGTACAATTACAATTTGAAACAATACAATTACAATTTGAAACTCGGACATTCTTTTACGAACACCCTGTATACTTTTACCGTTTGTTATTTTCAAAATTGCATTCGAAAGGATCATGAACTGTTGAAAATTCCTTTTATTTACCACTTGGGAAGTAAGTTTTGAAATGTAACCTCAGAGTTTCGAGATGCAAACATATGTCAATGCATCATTCTTTTTCAATAGCAATATCATTTTCTGCTAAAATGTTTTGGAAATAAGAAAAAATTTCTTTGTTTTATATAACTAATCTACATGCCAGGTTTTTGATCAAACCTTATAACTTTTTCATGGGCTTTCAGAACAGTTAAAGAATTATTTATAGACAAAATTTAGTTCACTTATAGTTTTGAAAATACATCTAAAAGATTTGCTAGTTTTCTTAATTACATGTCGTCAGCAAGAGAGAATTCAGAATCTTTTTAATTTTATTTACAAACAGCAGGATAATTTTGAGAATCTAAGAGGACCAGATAACCTGTGACCTGTGGTTTATTAACCATAGTTTCAGAAATGCTGACATATTGAATTTTTAAAATATATTGGTAAAAATATATTTACAGATGCCCCTAGGTGATAATTGGCAATTTTTAGCAGCACATGGACACCGAGTTTGTGCAATTCTTTAACTTGTTATTTTGGCTTTGTGCCAAAAATCCCCACTACAGAAATCCAAAATAACAAGTCAAAGAATTGCACAAACTCTGTATCCACGTACACATCAGTCTATTTTCACTTAAAAAAAAAAAAAAAAAAAAAAAAAAAAAAAATCAGAGAATTGCACAATTTAGGCATTGTGCACTCCCTTGACTTTGTCCATGTACATGTCGATCTATATTCATTTAAAATATCAAAAGAGCAGCCAACAAAAAATATATAATCTCAGTAAACTACATTTTAAATCGAGCAATAAAATAGCATAAAAAATGAAATTCATCCTAGCACTACACAAAGGAAATATCCACTTACCTTATTTACAAATTTCACTGTCTTCAATCAAACAAAATTCCTTAACAGCATTAAAAAACTTCTTAAAATTATCTGAACTAGAATCTCTATACTGGCGTTGTCACATAACTTCACAAAAATAAGAGTAAAAAATATCCTCCATAGTGCCCGTATCCTCCGACCATACGCATTTCTTTCCTACAAACAGGACACTTAGAATGGCTACTATGTATATACTACACTTAGAATGCCTACTTCATTTACACACCAGTCAATCAATGCTTTTTTTCCTTTCGTTCCAAATCGTACGAAAATTCAAATTAGTCTTACCACATTCAGCCATTTTACCATGTAAAACACAAGATAACCGACGTCTTTCATAACCAACGCACACAAGCCCTTACAAATCTTTTCCCACCATTAAAATTCACCACAGGTACGCAACCAATTACATCATAATAGGGTTCCCATAACATTCAACTACTCAGTTACTGTAAATGAAACAACTTGGCGATAAATGAAACAACTTAGCAATAATCCAAGGAGTGCCCCTAAATCTACTCTAACCAATATATTTATTTACTCTTTTATATTTTATATGTAATTTAACATGCTTATAATAGTTTAATATTAATTTATCAATTTTTGTTAAAGCTCAAGCACTTAAAGAAATTAGAAGCAAAACAGAAAACATTACAAGCTTTTGTTTCCGGAAATGCGGAAGAAGCTGAAAATGCTGTGCGAGATAATTTTGAGGGTTAGTATGCAGAATAAATATATAAAAGCAAATTTTATGATTGATTAACTCTGTATGATTGTTGATTAATTAATCGTAAGTTAAAATAAGTGAATTTTTGCTTCTAAAATTATTTTAGTCATTCATTTATTTATAGTGCCATCTTTATCATTCTGAATTGATATTGTTCTATTTTTCATGTCAAAGTAGTTTAAAAACACCGAGAAATTTGGGGTAACTAATTTCTGCATATTTCTTCATGCTAAGCACTAACCAGTGCATCATTTGTAGATACGCATTATACTTATTTCTGCTTTACTCATTCAGCAGAAACTTCTATTGAGCATATATTGCCTATTCTGATCACTTTATGATCATCTTTTTGTCATTTTGCCTTTTTTTCATTTTGGAGTGTGTAATGTTCCTCGAATTGCAGAGGTTTTCCAAAGTATATGCTGCTAGAGAACTAACATATGCAAGACACATACAATTCTGTGTTGTAGTTTTTTAAACTTTGCTTTAATTTCGTAAGGATTAACAAAATGTATTTGGACAGGTAGCTGTTAATAGTAGAGTTTAAAAAGTTTCAAGGGTCAGGCCTTTGTATTTGCATTCAAAATAATTTTTTATTAGATAAAAATTTATGTCAAATAATTGTTGAAGGAAGGGGCATTTGAATCTCTGAATCCTGCAAATGTAATTAACTTGTGTGGTAACCCAAACATGATAAATTGGATGTTTCAGTTCTCGAAGGAAGCAGTGATAATATGTGAATTTGGTAAACATTCTTTTTGGCCATAATGTTTATACACTAAAAGAGGTTAATTGCAATATGATCTCTGTTGTAGCATTTTCTATACCTCATCTAATTTTAAGGCTGTGTTTGAGGTACTTTGATGATTTTTAATTTTATAACCTTCAATTACCTAGTTTGGATATGCTAAAGAATATTTTAGCAAGGACGTGCTATTTTTGTTGTTGTATTGATTGAATGTTTATAAATACCTTTCTCATAGTCCGCAGTTCTTGTCATATGTTTTGGTACTTATCTTTTATATTGGCTTTGGGAACGAAAAATAATGTTGCCACAGTTTGGGTGTAAGAATGTGGAATTTGTTGTCAAATGTTGTAAGCATCCACAAAAGGAAAATTTAATATGGTAAACAAAAAATATGCAATTCATTCAATATCCATATAACATAAGTTATTTAATATATGTATATTACAGTCAAAAGTCGTTAATCCGGACTCGTCGGGACTTTGGCGATTCCGGATTATCGATTTTTCCGGATTATAGATCATCAGTTTAAATCTGGTAAGATTGCATGCAGAAATTATAAACTTAAAAATAGGAAACCGTAATTCATGAAATAACAATTATGATCTAAAGGGTATCAAAATTTACAAAAAAAAAGCTTAATATTTATTTGTTTACTTTATTAAACATTTCTTTTAATGCGCGCATGCGTAAAGCATACATTACGCATAGTCGAAATTAGAAAATTGCAACCAGAAAACTATTTGATTTGAACTATTCGTGATATTTATAATGAATTTGATTTAAATCATATCAAAGAAGAGTACATCGAGATGAAATACTACATTTAGTAATGAACTATAAGCCGAATAAAATAAAAACATATGCCCTTAAGGTAAGGATAGTGCTGACAGATCAACTTCCAGTTCATTGCGCACTGCGACGTTCCCCTTCCCCTCAGAGCAGCGGGAAATTGATAAACAGATTTCGGAATGGTTAGAGAAACAAAGGATATGCCTTTATCCATTTTTTGCAGCAATTCCACTTTTTGTTTGATGGACATCGAAACATACTTTCGCTTTGTAGATCTTTTCGCAGTATTCAGCATCGGAAATTCTGTTTGACATAATCGAAAGTTCAAGCTTACTTTTATAAAATTGCTCTAACAGTCTGCATAAAATAATAAGCCGGATCCAATTCGAAGATTAAGGAACAAGGCAATCTGCAACATTAACTGAAATAGATAATTAGATAATTTTCGCTTAGCTTATACCGTCCATTATACATTAAATGCACGTGCGTAAACGTATCATGCGCATGCATACACGCATATGCACATGCGTAAAGGTATTACACACATGCGTGAACGCATTATGCATTGACGCATGCGCAGAAAGTTTGTAGCTTTGAGGTCCGGATTATAAATCATTCTGGATTATGTGCGTCCGGATTAAGGGCTTATGACTGTATAATGTAAATTAATTATTATATATAAATATTATAATTAATTAAAATAATACTTTTAAAATACATATGTGGATTAAATTTGAAATAAATTGTACACAAAAACCAGTAACACAGTGGCAAATTGCGTGACAGAAGCAAAACATGCCAAAACCAAAAATGACATCTTTCGCAGCAGCATCATCAGAAAGTTGGTGCAACAAAAGAAGGAAATAAATAAGTCTGCTTTTGAACTAACAAAGACACAAATTAAAGATTAATACTTAAAATAATCTGAAAAATCAAAAGAAATCTGTGTCTTTATCAATCCAACCCCCTAGGAATCTAAGTAAATAGTGTAAAAATACTTGAAAACAAACTAACTTGAAAATAAACAAACTTGAAAAATTTTTGAAAATGCTGAGCCTAAAAAGCAAGTCGTGTAAATTTAGGCAATCCAATACATGAAAAAATAAAAGCATATAAAATTTTGAAACCATGCAGGCCTGTTAAAAAATTGTAGCATCAGAATCATAAGCAAGCGAAAAAAAGGTAATAATAATTATTTTCAGTTTAAGTGGACTCAGTCCAAAAAAAAAAAAAAAAAAAAAAACATAAACATGTAAAACAGAAACAACCCAACATATAAAAATTAATAAATAAAAATTTGATCTAAAAATGTTAAAAATAAAATAAGAAGAGTTAGTTCTTAAAATATGTAACATTATAGCAACATGAATTTTAAAAAGTAAAAATATACTTATCAGGTTAGCCACAAAATACTGTTGCGAAGTCTAAAATGTGCGAAATGATGAAATTAAATAAACTATGAATTTCAAACTGATTAATAATAACAAAAATAATTAGAAAAAAAAACTTCTCTTGTAATATTAAGTATGGTGAAGTGAAAATGAATAATTTGTAAAAGGAAAAAACTTCAAACATAAATTATAATATATACAGTCAAAAGTCGTTAATCCGGAATGATCTATAATCCAAACCTCAAAGCTACAAACTTTCTGCGCATGCGTCGCGTTGACGCATGAGCATAAGACCTTTACGGCTGTGAATATGCACGTGCGCATGCGCATAATACGTTTACGCATGTGCGTTTAATATATATCTGTTTATCAATTTCACGCTGCTCTGCAGCGGGGAGGGAAACACCGCAGCGCACAATGAATTGGAAGTTGATCTGTCTGCACTATCCGGTTGATCTTTACATTATGGTAACTTGGCGTTTTTTTGGCGAAAATTTTTGGCAAAAATTTTGGCGAACTCTCCTACAGCAACCCTCTATTTTTTTTTTCCCCGCCGCCATTTTGTCTTCACGAAGTAAAGACATGTTTCTTTTCTTTTTATCTACTGAACACTTCTTCCAACAATCTACTAGCCGAATTACACTTATGCTAGAAATTTTATCTAACAAAACTACTTAATCATGACAAATATTCACTGCAAAATTGGGAAAAAGTGCACAGTACCATACTCCTTATGCGTTTTTCAAAATAACACATACACATAAACCATGTACACGCCGACTTATTTTTACTTAAAAAAACATCCCAGAATTGCACAAAAATGGCATTGCGCACACTCTTCACTATATCCATGTACACTGCTTTTTTCTCATAAATTAGAAAAATTTCACGAAAATACATGACAATTTTCTCAATCTTTAAACCCGGTAAAAAGAACATATATGAAATTACCTGATAACGTATACCAAATTCCTACAAACATAAAATTCACAAAATAACTATCATTTAATTAAAATATAATTAAATTCAAAAACACTACTTAAAATATAAATGAGCACATACATTAAATTAATAAAAATTACCTTACAATGCTAATTACTTTAAACTAAATCATTGCTAATAACAATTTTCCCAATAATACCAAATTCCTTTACTTCCACCTTACATTTACAACACAATGCATAAAAATAATATCCTCAAGTAATTAAAAATACTAACTTACCTAATCTTCTTAGGAATCTTGATTACGTGTCCAATAAACTTTTCTTTAGTTACGGCCATGGGATCCAAAAATTCATGAACACTGTTTCACACAACACAGAATAAACCAAATACAAAATTTCCAGATTTTTTCCTTTTTTTCCCGATTTCCCCCCTTTTCCTCCGATTCAAGAACCGTAATTCGTCCATTAATATCACATGACATATCCCATGATCTCTCATTTCCCTCACACAAAATAATGCGTAATCGGAACTGAGTACTGCTCACATTATTACCAAAGTCCCAGGTAGTAACCTTTATCGCCTCCAAAATGTCGCCAAACTACCAGTTACCATATTGTAAAGATCAACCCACTATCCTTATCTTCAGGGCAGATGTTTTTATTTTATTTGGCTTATAATTCCTTACTAAATGTAGTATTTCATCTCGATGTACTCCGTCTTTGATATGATTTAAATCAAATTCCTCGTCATTATAATTCGCTTCCGATAGTGAAGAAAGTGACACAGAGGTTATTGAAAATGAAAAAATTTTGATTAAAAAATTAGTCGGTATTCTCGACACAGTAATTATAGGACTTCAACAGCGGAACTTTGTAACTGAAGAAGAAATTATGTCTATTTATAGAACTAAAGAGAAAGTATTATCACATAAAACAAAGCAACTTGAACAACTTACATTGAAAGAAATGTTTAATAAAGTAAACAAATAAATATTAAGCTTTTTTTTTTTTTTTTTTTTTTTTTTTTTTTTTTTTTTTTGTAAATTTTGATACCCTTTAGATCATAATTGTTCTTTATTTCATAAATTACGATTTTATATTTTTAATTTTATAATTTCTGCATGCCATCTTACCAGATTTAAACTGATGATCTATAATCCGAAAAAATCGATAATCTGGAATCACCGAAGTCCCGACGAGTCCGGATTAATGACTTTTGACTGTAGTAGGAAATTCTTATTACAATTTTTCCAGCTATTTTTTTAATTGATAAGCATATTTGAACAGAACTTATCTGTAATACAATCATGCGGACAATTTATTTAAAATAGCAGCATATATAAACATGTTGGAAAATTCCATTTATTATTTTATTTACTATGATTTTTAGCAATTAATTAAAAAAACATAAAGTGTGCATACAGGTGTGTAATAAATTTAATGCACACAGGTCTGCAATGATAGGTTGATAAAATTAATTTTATCAAAGAAAACACTTCAAAGTTCTGGATCTTTCTCCCAAAATAGTCATGCCACTCTTCACAGTATCACAGAGTACAATCAGTAGTTTTACTTGAAATTACTGAGAATGTTAAGCACACTGCAGCACAAACCACATCTAAAGAGCAAAGCTAAGGTTTCTCACCTGTGCAAAAATGTGTCCAATGCACTTTCTCACCAAGGCTGCTACAGAAGACAAGTACCATATATTGAGTTCCAGAATTTGCATCTTTGTTGTAGACAGAGATGATATATACACCTAATGTATGTGCTGTGTTGCCATCTCATTTTTCAGCTCTTAACAGTTTTCAGATGGGTTTATGTCAACTTTTCTGTTTTTTCACTTCTTCCAGTAGAGCATGCGATCTTCCGGTTTTTAATTTTTACCCTTTACTAAGAAAGAGGTTTTCTGTCAACAGATTAAATCTACTGAATTAACAAAACTTAAACTGTGCAGATTCCATTTCTGTCCCACATCCCAGTCATTTTCAGCATAATTTTTTGTACTATATTTGTTAGATCTGAACTATCTTAATCTAATATAGACATTTATTGAAATTTTATGAAGATTCAATGTGTTAAGTCAGTTAATATTTGTGTTTTGTTTTACATCAGTACCGAGTGCCTTACTAAATTTATATCCACTCAGTAGTATATACATTAATTATTTTATGTTTTATTCTATTTGAAAATGCATTGATAAGCTATCTTTCTCTATTTGGAATTTTCCACCTATAAAAGTATTAGAAAATTTTAAAATGGAATTTGCCAGATTTGAGAAAACCTAATTAAATATTAATATATTTTGCCTCGGAATTAAATTATAAATAGTTTAGTAACCTGAATCATGCATTATAAAGTAAATATAGGTAAGATTTGAGTTGTTTTGAAATTATGTCCATGCAAGGCACATAAACCTCCCAGAAATTCCAGTTTTCATATGATAAACCTTCTAGTTTTTCATATTTCAGTGTTAGCAGCTATGATTTTTATCAGTAAGTTTGTACTGAAATTCTTGAAAAAAGTAGAAGGATAATAAAAAAATGCTCAAAAAATGTACATGTTTTTTTAATGTCTAATTTGAAAATTATAAACAAATAATCTGTATTTAATTATTCATTATTTTTTAATTGCATATAGTTAAATGAGAAAAAACTTAAAAAGTTTATTTTATTTTACAATCAATATTTTGAACTCTACGTTGCATCACACATTCATTAAATATTTATATCATTCTGTATTAGGTGAGGAAGAAATGGATGAAGAAACACTGTACCACCTAAAAAATGTTTTCTCTTCAAAGGAAACTGAAGAAGAACGACTTATACGGATGGGACAGATGACTCCTTTTGGAACAGTGATGCAGAACCGGAATCCAGCCAAGCCAAAGCCGAGAACGATAATTGTTCCAGAGGATCAACTCACAGATTTTGACAAGTTTTTGCTTAATGAGGCAGAAGCGCACAAGACTAAGAAATCATTAAAGCCTACTCAAAAGCATCCAAAACCGTCAACCTCGAAATGTTCGGAAACGAACTCTATGACTGAAAAGGCTTCAAATTTTCCAGCATTTACGGACGTAAAAGCAGTGGTTAGGAAGAAGCAGAAGGTGAAAGTTAAATTAGGTTCAAAACATGCAAGTGGGTATTTGAAAAAAGTTAATTTGAATAGAGGTTTAGTAAAAAATTACAAAAGTGATTCAGAATTGAGTGACTTTGAAGCAGAGGCTTTATAATGATGAGGAGCCTTTTGACACGTCAGATGACGAATACAGACCAGATCATGATATCGATGATGATGATGACTATGAAGTACATGGTAATGTTTTTTTAGTTATATGTAATAGCTGTATTTCTGTATGCATTGCCTTAGTAATTGTTTATTTCAAGTGTGATTGCATGGTGTATCAATTAATTTATTTTTCCAGTATTTCATCATCAGTTATTAATGTGAGCAAATTATGTTATTTATATATATGCAAGGTGGTGCTCAAAATGTCATCCTATTTAGTCACCCCCATGAAATCTGTAATATTATGTATTGAACAAATCACATATTTGGATTCATAGATCTGGTAGATGTCTGGAGAAATTGGTATTGGACTCTAATTTTCTGCAAAACAGCTGTTTGTAGGATAGCAGCTAAGGTTGAATGCAGACAGAAAGCTGTAATATTATGGTGGCAGAAATATGTAGTTGATTATCTTACTTATTATCAATATTTTGACAAAACTTACTTCAGAAAATGAAATTACTTACGGGATGTTCTGATGTATGAGTCTCTACAATAAGTCAGCCATTGAACTTCTGGGAAACTATTAGAAACTATATGCATGTCATGATATTTCAAACATTTAATGAAATCTACATAAGCCTTTGTAAAGTTGCTCCTTAATGTGTCTCAGTTTTTACTTCCTAGTACGAAGAAAAGGGAGTATTATATTCACGAAAAATTCCAGGTTTCATACTATTTCAACAAAAATATCCATTTAGACTGCTATTGAATTCAATTTAATGATGTTTTTACATGACATCTGTATATAAGGACTGTTTTTCCCCAAACGAAATATAAAACTGATTTAAAATGGATTCAGAAGAGATTTTTTCATGACGTGTGTACGTATGTACATATCTGTGTATATATCTCGCATAACTCTAAAACGATTAGCCTCAGAATGTTAAAATTTTGTATAGAAGACTGCTATAACATGTAGTTATGCATCTCCCTTTTTAGTTGCAATCGCCCCCACCAATATATATATTCACTTGAGTGAGTGCAGTTTTTGTATTCTTATATGTTGGTAATTTGTGCATTTTTAAAGTGATTGAATTATGTTTATCTTCCAGTTAAGGTCTTTATGCCTTTATTTAATTTGAATGCAATAGTTGTACAATTTAAAAGTTGTTTAAGTGTGGCTAAGCTCTTTTTTTTTTTTTTTTTTACCAGAGCAACCATATTTGCTTACATTTGAAACGTAACAGTGAATTAAATATTTCTGCACTTTCAGTGTCTTTTGTTTGACCAAAACGAAACTTTTAGTTTTGTGCACCGAAAAATCTGCCTTCTTGTCGAATTGCTTGTTTTTGCATAGAAACTCTTAATTTTAATTGTAAAAATTATTTTACCTGTATTTAGTGTTTTTTATTTTTCTCTCTTTTAATTTTGAATGAAAATGTTTTGAGTTTTTATGTATTTTTACTGTGCCATGAAGTGATTATTGAATAAGAACTGTATCTCTAATTAAATTTGAGGAAATATGTTTAAATGAAATGCAGGAAAAAATACATATAATTTAATATTCCATACAAGGAAGTCGTTTGGTACACATATCAGATTTTTTAATCATTGAGTTGTAAAACTTTTCAGATGCATTTTCTAGAGATTAAAAATTTTAATTGTTGTTTAACTAGCCTGTTCATAAGGTATGAAAAATTTTATTTTAGAGAGGAAGCCAAAGAAACTGAGAACTGGTTCTCGTAAGAAATCAAATTTGAGTTCTGAAGAGTCTGAATCATGTTTAAAATCTGTGAGAAGTAAGGCGAAAAAAATAGTTGATGATGGAGATCAAGAATCATATGTAAAGAGAATCAAGTGAGATATAGTTTCATGTTTTTTTCTTGTGAAAATTGGTGTTAAAAATAAATTTTTGTGTAAAATTTAAAACAATTTATAAAGTCCCCTCACCTTATTTTTTTTTTTTTTTTAAGGTTCTATCAAATGTTATAAATGGCATGATTAAATTACACATTGTGCATTTATTTTGATTTAACTAATAGTTAAAATTTCTATTTGAATTTCTATTATTTACCAAACACACTATTTCATTGTCAAAAGACCTGAATCTTTCTGCTTTTATCAATTCAGAAAATGATTCACAGCCCAATAATACATGAATTTTGCTAGGTATATGAAAGGTAGGCTGCTAGTTTAGTTTCTTTTGGGAAATCTTTTATAGAAATATCAATTTTATTTGTAGATGTAAGCCCTGTAATGGATGTAAAATGAAAAAGGATAAAGTCCTTCACCAATCACCATCTTCATTTGAGATTTTTGTGGTTGTTTTTTTTTTCACAAAATATTCACCTCTACTTTTTTCTGTTATGGTTATATTTATTTTTTGCTTATTCAGTTTCAGTGCCTCAGCAGCTTCAGTAGTTAATATATTGCAGCTGCTTCCAGAGTCCAATATTCTTTTTAATTTTACTTTTTCCCTCATGTGGTTTCAATGAATAATGATAGTATACATAACAACCCGGTTTGTGTAGCTTTGTTGATTAATATGGCACCTAACACTTCTGCAGACTGTTGTGCAATTGAGGCAGATGGGGCGGAATTTTTTTTTTTTTTTTTTCTTTTCTTTCTTTCTTTCTTCTCAGCACCACTTGCCGATGACTCATTTGAAACAGTCTTGAGAAACTTCAGGTTTTGAATTAACATGAATTAAACTGTTATGATTGGAATTTTTACAAATTCTACATGTAAAGGTTAAAATGCATAGTTCTTTATGCATTTTAAAACATATCTTGCATAACTTTTGTTCTTAAATTGTTTGATTATGTTTTGAGACACTCATAGTAAGGAATTTAGGACGTTTGTGTAAAAATGTTCCACGTTACAGAGAATACAGGGTTTAATATTTTTTTTTACGCACTTAAACGTAATGGTTAAAGTAATGGTTTTTGGTTGTGTATTTATGCAAACTTTCTAAAGTTCTGTTTTCGAGAAAACTTAAGAATTCATCTAAAGCAGGAACTTCTTTTGTTTTTAACATCAACTGGAATTATTTACGTGTTTCCTTATTAATTTTTTGAAGCAATATATTCATTAATATAGCATCAGATAAGTTAATGCATTCAAATTCCAAAACATTTAACGCACGCAAATTACGTTTTATTTTATCCAGTAAATGGCACAATTCTCTGGGTGATCCATTGTTGATTTTTTCATGATTTAATATATTTTGTATGTGAAAATCAGCAACTGCTCTTTTATTTTCAAAACAAACTTCAAGGGCTGTAAAATGTGAATTATAACTGTCTTGATCTGTTTGTATTTGTTTGGCTTCTCTCCTTGTGGTGGCTCTTAAATAAAAGAGCTTTTGTAAATAGCTAAGTTAATTATTATCACCAATTAAAGAAATAAATTGCTGTTTAAACCTGCCAAATTCTTCATAATTTCCCATAAATATTGGCAGTGGAATTTCAGGTAATTTTGCATTGCAAAACGTTTTACTTGTATTATGCTCAGCTTCACCACCGTCTTTAACTTTTGAAGCATTATTTAATTTACATGTACAAAGAAGAGGTATTTAATTGTTACCTCCACATTATCCAGTGATGAATCCAACTCATATTTTATAAGCCGTCACTGCAGTAGCTGTTGTAGAGGTGTGTCATTCCAACCTTTACCTCCTTGATGTTTTCTAATTTTATTTCTAACTCAACTGAACTCCCTTCGGATTCTCTGAAGTTATTCATGAACATCTCCAGTTCTGTAATTTTGCTTTTTATAATGCCTCTTTGGCGATTTAGTTGTGTTAATTTGTCCATTTTATTTTTGCTCCTTTTGAATGGGCACAGATCTCCAGCTCGACGGACCACTCATTATGGATTTCGTGCTGCTAATGAACAAATTTATTATCCTAAGGATATACAAAAAAAATTGCTACTAGAGGGATGTGGTGTATAGGTGTAGATAATGACATAACAACCCCTTTCCGGTGAAACCTCCACACTCCCTCCTAGTATGTATGAATTGGAAGTCTGGCCTTCTCATTCTAGCCTGCGGACTCCTTGCCATGTTGGGTAGAATTCCTTCTGGAACTTCCTGCAGACTGAATTTCTTCTGCTTGACCTTCCCTGTTTGCGGTAGAGTCGTGAACTCGGCCAGGTGCTTGTAATTTGTACTCTTTCAGGAAGGGCTTTCACTGACTGACGGTAGACGTTTTTCTGCTCTGCCTGAAATTTTGCTGGTTTCACACCAACATTCAGTGGTTGCTTTCTTTTCTTTTGGTTCCTCAAATTCGACTCTGGCTGTCGTTGCAATTCTCGCTCTTCCGCCTCTCTTGGCATCTACTTTTGCTCTCTTCTAGCATTGATCTGGGGTGGAAGTTGTCATTATTTTGTTCTCTGGAATGAACCCTTCAGAAGTTCCTGTAATACTGGTATTGGCTCACTTCCAGTTTCCTGAAAAAGATATTTCAGCACTTGAAAATCACTTCTATGATAGTGTGGCTTAGCTTGATCAATTTGACATAGTTTGATGTTCATTTTTGAAATACAAAGTTGTATGTCTTATTTTTTTCATATAGAAATAGCTCTTCGAACTTTATAGCAAATTTTGCCACTTTATTTTCCCGAGAAGATGATAATGTATGTTTTTAGTACCTTTTGACCTATATTATATTCCAATATTGTTATTGGGGCATTTTCAAAATATACTGACTCTACCGCAAACAAGGAAGGTCAAGTATTGAACTTCTAATAGTACAGCTAGAGTTTCCCCGTTCTGTGGCAGTATATTTCCTTCGGGTTGGGTTCAGTATTTTACTAAAATAAGCTACTGGTTGCCTGTTTTGACACAGAACTGTGCCACCTGAGTAGTCCAAAGCATCACTAGCAATTTCCAAGTTCTGATCTGCTTCTGAAAATTTCATTACCAGAACTTTGATTAATGCTAGCTTCAGTGGCTTGAATGCCATGTTTGCTTCTGCACGTGTTTTTTTATTTTTTCCCCCTCTCTTTTTAAAACCAACAAAGGTTCAACAGTTTTTGTGAAGTCTTTTGTAAACGATCTATAATATGAACATATGCCTAAAAAAGGTATCAATTTCTTTGCTGTGTTTGGAGAGGAATAATTTTTAATGGCTAGAATTTTACAGGTTTATGTTTCAATGCCTTTCTATGAAATTTTATAGAGATATCAAGGTTCTTTTGTGGTGAATTTACATGTCAAGGCATTTACTTTGAGGCCAGCTTCACTTAATAAAGAAAATACTTCACCTAAATGTTGACTGTGCTGAACAATTATTTTAATAGTGATAATGATATCATTGAGATATATAAAAATGCTTTTTCCTAGTATGTCAACACAATGTCTATCATATGTTGGAACGTTGTCTGAGCTCTACATAGACCAAACAGCATTCTTGAAAAGGCATATGTGCCCGATTTAGTAATAAATGCTGCTTAGTACATATTGGGCTTTATACCTATTTGAAAAAAGCCTGACGGGGCAAAGGATGTACTGTAGGTTTCGTAATACTAATTTAATTTATGGTAATCAACAGCAAATAGCGTGCTTTACGATATGATAGTGGAAGGTTATTTTTCTTGCTGCATAAGACTGCAAGATTTACGTATAGACTGCTTTATTTTATTTTTCAACATTTCGTGTTTTTTTTTTAATATAATTTGTTCTTTTACTCTGTCATACCAACAAGGCTTACATTTTACAGAGTGCACACCTGCTCTCCTACTGAAGTAATTCAAACCTCTGGTTAAATAATAGTTTCTACCCTGCTTGCATAAAGCATAAAACTGAAAGCTCGTTCTGGCTGGAAAACATAGGCAGGAAAATGAGAAAGTAAAGGAAAGGCTTACTCCAAAATAAAAATAACTGTTAGCATATTAAGTGAAACCGCTGTAGTATATTATGCAAACAGCTGTTTTTAGATAGATTTTTATTTCTTAAATGGTGCCTCTAAGATGCTGGTATTAAGCATGAAGATAAATACAAATAATTAAAAATGTGTACATAAAAATGATTGCATTAATTAATATACTAATCTATTTAATTTTTTAATACCATTAAATTTTAATTTCTCTGAATTTTAGAAAGTAAAAGTACGAATAGCACATAAAAGTGGTGTTTTTATGAGTCATTCAGTTTATATACAGTATGAAAGTAAAAGAATGGCCAAAAATAGTCATCACTTATATTAACAAATCTATGGCTCAATAGTTAGCTTTGATATTCGAACATGTGACCAGTTGGGGGGGGGAAGATAATTGAAACAAAAAACTAATTTTAGTGGTGCTATCTAAAAAATAAGTTTTTTTTTTTTTTTTTTTTTTTTTTAAAGTATGAAATACTATTTTTAAATGTGGAAATAAATACAAATAATTGGGAATGTGTACATGAAAATTATTACATTCATTTTAGTAACTCAATTTTTAATTCCATTAAATATAAGTTCTAGTAACATCATAATTCAGTAATAATAGCTTAATAAAATAAAATATTCAAGAGTTTTCAAATTCACAAGTGTGCATCTAAAAATTACGTAACTAATTAAAAATGGTAGAGTGTATACTAATACTATATCATAACTCCTTGAGGTATAGTGGGAAGCATGTTAGGAGGTCTGGATTCAAATCCCGGCAAGAGCATCGCTGGTGCTCCTAATTCCTGCTGTAAAATAAACCTAATGGTCCTGCATTATATAAACAGGAATTTTCTTGTTCTATTCTTATAAAGAGCTCAGTGTAATCATGACTTATTGGGCAAACACGTACATGTGTAAACTTGTCAGTAATGGAGTTAGTTTTCCTTTTCATTACCTCTGTTAGTTGTAAGTAATTAACATGTCAGAGTGGGAAAATTCACAAGTGTTGCAGAGATTAGATTTTTGACTAAGGAAGTTAACATTCTGTCTCATTTACTTCAGACTTAAAAATCAGTTTGGAGGTCATTTTCTTTCTTTAGAGTGCAAGTCATAGAAAGTCATGTTTAGAATTGAAACTGAACTGCATATTCTTTGGCCAAGAATCCCAGCCACTGAAGAGGAGCTGAGTAGTAATCCAACACAGAAAAGGATTTGTCAGGCGATGCTTATGTTACCAAGACAATCAACCCACAATGCCCCAAGAAAGTATTTATATGCCAATGCAGGCATACATGCACATTGCAGATTTCAGTTTGTCAAATTTACTGATTTTAATTTTTTTTTAATTGTCTGTTTGGATTGGTATTTGATGAATTCTTGTAAGGAATCACATTGGCCGGAGGTCATTTGGCCAGGCCACATTAGATTTTTTATATTTATTTTGGATTTCATAATATAGCTATTCTTTTCAAAAGGCTTTAAATATCATTAGCATTGTAATTCTCATTTCTAGTTAGATTTTATGTTAGGTGCCAAGTGATACTCCATTGATAAAAAAGTACTGAAAATTCTTTACAGCAGCATGGCCTGATGATGATTTTAGTAGCTTCTTTGCTTTTAAGGCTTCTTTTAAGAATAAGCTTATTGATAATTTTGGCTTTGTATATATCTTTGCTGAAATATGAATAATCGTTAATGTATTTTATTTGCTATAAAATATTTTCATACATAACATTAATGTGAATATTTTTTATTGTAGAGCTTTTGAAAAATCTGAATTGATTAAGAAGCATGAAAAAATATTAGAAAGTGCAGATGGGGTTATTGATTCGGATGATGAAGACTTCACTGAATTTGAAGGGGATTACAAGATTCCCAACAGTGTTTGGAATAAATTATACAAGTGAGCATTTGATTATATAGTGAAACGGTATTCTACTTATTATTCATGTGATATGTTACTTGTATGTTATATGTTATTCAAATGTTAATGAGATAATTCAGATTGATGTATGTTTTTCTATAAGCATAATAAGTTGTTAAACTAGTTTATATTTAATAAAGCTTCAGAACCTAAGGCATGTGCTATTATTTGTAGAGTAGTAAGATTTTTCTTATGTTGCTCATTAACTGATAATTTTGAATAAAAGCAAGAAATACTTTCATATGTGTAACCATGTATTTATTTTCAATGCAGAACATTAATTAGACATCTATATTTCTGTAGAAACAGAAGAATTTGTATGGCAGTTCCAAGATTAATTTCTTAAAATGCATTTAAATAATAAATCTTGACTTCTCAAGTTTTTTTCTTTCAAACTGAATTCATTTACTGATAGTGCTTAAATAATTTAAGTGCTAGTGATTAATACATATTAACCTATGTCACAACTTATTACTCAATGCAAATTAATCCTAATTATAGATATGTATTTCTTTAGAAACCAAAGAATTTATGTCTCAGTTTGAAAATTATTTAATAAAATTTCTTAAAATCCATTTAAAAAATAAATTTTTAATTTATTCTATGATCCTTTTTTTTTTTGTTTTTTTGGTTTTGTTTTCTGCTACTTTTTTATCCAAACCAAATGTTCTTTTACTAACAGTGCTTCAATATTTATTTCCTGCATTGAAAACAGTTGTCTGCTGCATTTATAATACATCAGTGTTAATACTCGAGCATAATTTTCCTATTATGAAATATTTTGACCAAATTCTCTACTCGGATTTTATTTTTATCATAAAGTAATGTCATATTAGAAAAAAAAATTTAATTTCTAGATAAAGTTGTGTCTGTTTCTATTTGCCCTGTTTATTAAATCTCTCTGTCTCTCTCTTTTTTTTTTTTTTTTTTGTTTATTTTTATTTTTGGTCACCAATTTGACTGAAAACTAGCAAAAGTGACTTCTAGTTTTTGGTAATAAGCTCATCAGTTGCTGCCAGCATTGGCTGAAAGTAATTGTGCTGAAAAAGTGAAACATTTGCAGTGTTATAAGTACTATAATCTAAATATTTAAAGAAACTCTTAATTATAATTTAGGTATCAACAAACTGGTGTCCGTTGGCTATGGGAGTTACATCAGCAGAACTGTGGAGGTATTATTGGAGATGAAATGGGATTGGGTAAAACTATTCAAGTAATTGCCTTCTTCATTGGATTGAAATATAGCAAATTATTGACTGTTGGGGATAAGTAAGTTTTCACGCCCATTCTGTATTTAAGTGAATTTATGATACTTTTCATTTCATCTGGTATCAATTGTAAATGTGCACTAAAATGCTAGATGTAGTAGTCTGTTATTATCAGCAGTAGTTATTCAAAGACATCATTGGAAATTAGAAGGAAGTATGAAAATTTATCTAGCAATTTTTCCTTCAAACTTTTAAGTTGCATTTTTGCAGAATTTTCTGTAGAAATTATTTATTCCCTACATACATATTTTAAATATCTCAAAAGTTGCTCAATAAAGCTGCTTATCAGAAGATATTTTTGCCTTTTGTTTCTATCAAAATTTTATAGCATTTACTAAGAAATAGCTTTGAAGTGATTGTTTCCTTTAACAATTTTGCCATAAAAATAATATGTTGCTGCAGAAATTTTACTGCAGTTTATTATGTTGCAAGCAAATCACACAAGCACTTATTTAAAAGTGAAACAAAAATATTGGAATTTGTCTGTAAAAACATTGGAACTTGGAATACAACAAAAGAAATGAATGCAAAAATGATGGCATTGCTTTTTAAGAATTGTTATGCCTAGGGTTGCTTGAAGAACTGTTACATGCATAGTTGTCAGGTTTCTACTCAGTCCTAAAATTTGGGAAATGCTAAAGTGGTTACGCTAATATTTAAGGAGCTCCTTTTTTATTCCTCCCCAGAAAAAAAAAAAGAATTAATATAGTATATACAATATGGCAGTTGCCAAACGACAAGCAATTACATAATTGAAGTTTAATTTTTCCAAGATAAATGTATCTTTCATACTAAAAAACTTCATTCAGGAAAACCACAAAATGAAATACTATTTTAGTGGTACAAGAGCATTGAATTGGTTGTAAGAAGAAAAGTTTACTCGGTGGATACTAGTTTAAGGTTCAAGCATTGCTTTCCTAGCAGCTGTTTTGCTTATTTCATTTCAATTGCAAGAGCGGTGGAATTTTGTTGGCTACAGCTGGGAATGAATCATTAAAAAAGTAATTGACAAAAATAGTTACTTACCTTCTTATTACTGAATTTCTTGTGTATCTTTGCTTTTCATAATTATTTTATGAAGTAACCCTTTTCACCCTTTCTATATATGATTAGGTTGCCATTCCTATGTGAGATTTTACACCAAAATTTATGTTATGTGTAATTGGTTCATCATTACCCCAAAAGAACCTTCTTTTTTTGACTTCCTTGTACGAAGTAAAAAGGAAGTATTGTAATCACGAAAAGTTTCAGGCAGAATATTTCAACGAAAATATCCATTTTGACCGCTATCGAATGCAATTTACGATGTTTTTTGCGTCATGTCTGTACGTAGGCGAATAAATACTCTTTTTCCTTCAAAAAATTATAAAACTGCTTTAAAATAATTCTGAAGAGAATTTTTTGTGGCGTCTGTTCGAACATATCAAACTATATAAATATATTTATATATATATCCACTCTGTTACCCGGCTCAGTGATCTCAGTTTCTTTACTCTTATATGTTGGTAATTGTACATTTTTTGCTTTCAAAATGATTGAATTATGTTGTTTTTATCTTCCGGTTAAGGATTTTATGCCTTTAGTAATATGCAATATTTTAGAATTATCACATTTTAAGTTTTTTATTGCCGCTAGCCTGTTTTAATGGCAGCCCATTGATGTTTACATTTGAAACAGGAGACGTGGATTTGTTGCCATCTAGAGAAACTTAGCTTCGCAACAACAAAGATAACCAGGGTTCGTCGGTCCTTAAGAGTCCTTAAATTCCTTAGATTTTTGGAATCAGTTTTGGTCCTTAAAAGTCCTTAATTTTGGTCAAAATCAGCAGAAGGTCCTTAATTTTTAATCTCTAAATTTGTCTGTTTTGTTACCTGAAACATAAGCATTTTGAAACTCGTTTTTTTCTAATAAAGAAATTTTAAACAATTTTCGCTTTTGAGGATGTGAATTCTTTTATTAATGGTTCTAAATTTGGCGACTTATCAACATTTTGGGCTTTTAATCAGTTTCTATAGAAATTTTTAATTCCGAGATCTGAGAATTTTTTTGAACGATTTTTTTTTAAACATTGAACATTGATAAATTTCCTTAAAATAATGTAATATATTGAAATTATATTTAAAAAATAACATTAAAATAAAACATTTTTATTTTCGCTGTTATATTATAAGTTTCATTTTGGCCACTTATTATACAATATTTGAATTTGAAAAATAAACAGGTATAATGCTATAAAGCAGATTTACAACAAACAGCACTTACCAAAGCAAATTAACTATGCAATAATTAAAATGTCCTCTTTTTAATTTCTTCATAGTAAGCTTTTTCTCATGTAATTGTCTCAGAATATTCATCTATAAATTAATTTTACAGTTTTTTCCCCTTTTTTTTTCCTTCCTCAAAATATTTCTGTCTTTTTGCTGTTACAGATTGTAGCGATATTTTTCTTTAGTATTTTAACATTGCAGCTTGGAAGTTTAGAAGGATTTAAGGCAAGATTTTGACCTATGATTCTAGAATTTCAAGAATATGTGACAAATAAAAAAACGCCTCCATGGTTCAACACATAATGGATGTATTTAACAGAAAGTTAGCGATGAATTTCTTACTTTTGGGAGAATGTCTGAAAGAACTATAAACATAATATTGAATGTTTACTCCTATATAATCTTTTCTTAACGGTTTATCTGTCCTTTATTTTCTCTCTTTTCACTTGGACAAACATGGAAAACATCAAACTGCTTCTAATCACATGGGCAGGCATTTATAGAATTTTTTTTTTATTAATAAAGAATTAAAAACTTTACAATTTAAAAGATTCATCTAATATGTCCTTAATACATCATACACTGACTGGCACTAGGCTTTCCCACTCTTTTCCACTCATCTCTGTGGTTCCTAAACTCTGCTGCCTAGTGCTTTCTAAATTTTGTTTCCAGTGCGTGCTCTAAATTCTAAAATTTTTGCCATTTCTAAATTTTGTTGTACGTGTGTCACTGATTCTAAAAATTCTTAGCACCAGCGTAACCTTCCTTTACCTATATTTTCATATTTCTCAAAATGTTCATATACTAAAAAATAATTAGCCACTTTTTTTGCATTTAATGTTTTTAGAATAACACAATCCTTAATTAACTCTAAAATGAAAAAGAAACTGAATACATAAAGAATTATTCTTCAAATATGTGCAGTTATTATTATGTAAATTACCAGTGTTTATGATTCAACCTTTACTATATGTCCCTTTTTTATTTCTTCATATGATGTTTACTGAGGCAATTAAATTAAATTAAATTGTATCTTTGACCACTAGTCCCACATTTTTAGTTAAATTTGACTGTTCTTGTTTAATTACGTCGCCGTGAGCTAGTTGATTTTGCTAGCATTAGAACATGCCTTTATGCTCTAAAGTTCTTTTAAAAAAGAGGCTTTTAACTTTGATATTGTAGTTACTTTCAGACATAGCGATAATTTTTCTTCTGTCGGGGGTTTTTGCATTATTTAACTTTTACCAGATCAAGTAAACCTCTAGGTACATTGTGGAGAGGTTGGCAATTGGAGATAAGCACACAGAAATAGCGAGCAAAATGAGACATAAAAAGCGTAAAACGTAAATGTCCTTATTTCTTTCAAATATGTTCAACTGTTATAACTGTAAATTTAATGTACTTGATGAATTGCTAAAGTTATGCTCTAACTTATTATAATTATGTTAATTAATTCTTTTTGTATAATACACTAGTTCGATCTATTTTATTTTTAGGATGGTAATTACAAAAGTGAAATTCAGCATTGATAATTTTTAATTGAATTTATTCCTTTGCTCATAGTCCTTAATTTTTCTTATGGTCCTTAAAAGTCCTTAAAAGTACTTAATTTCCATGTGCAGAAATGTGTAAACCCTGATATGCATTCATTTATTATTGCCAATTAATCATGCTTAATCTTTTTGAATTTTTTTGAGGAAATAATCGTTTGAGATTTACTTCGTAATTTTTAATATGATATATTGAGTTTTTATGTATTTTTTGCCTCTCGCGAAGTGAGAACTGAATTAATTAAATGAAAAATACTCAATCGTCTGTGAAAACTGTTTCTGTTTTGTTTGCTTAATTTCTTTTATACATAGTCTACTTTATTATAGTATTTGAATAGAACATGTGGCAACGATTAGATAATTCTTTAAATGATACATTTGTGCATTCTGAGTTATAATATGAATGAAATATAATACTGTTAAGTTAACCTAGCGCCAGAGTGTCGCTATGGTAAACAAAGTGAATTTTAAAGAATGCATTTATTCTATTGTGGTTTATGCACTGTTGGCAATGTAGGTTTAATTCAATCTAATAAGTTTAAATAAAATGAAAGAAAAAATGCGTATAATTTAATATTCCGAACAAGGAAGTGATGTGGTGTACACATCAGATTTTTTTTTCCCTTTCAACTATCTGCACTTATGCTATTAGTCTTGATAATCATTTTTCTTGTTCATATCAATTTTCATATAGAAGTTGGTTGCCACCAAAGGTTATTGTCAAGTGTTATTCTTAAAAAAATAATACAGTAAATGTAAAAAAGTGTTTTGTAAACAAATAAAAAGATATTACCACTAAATGCTATCATCATGAATTATTTTTAAAGAAATAATGTAGTGAATGTTAAAAAAATTATATATGGCAATACTGAACACAATATTAGGAATTCTAAAGATGGGCTGTTTTTAAATTTTTTTTTTTTTTTTTTTTTTTTAAATTTTGCTGTTAAATTTTATGTTTGTAAGAAGATATTTATAATTTAATAAATAAAGTTAAAAAGACCAAAAGTTAGTAAAACGTTGTGTAGGCATCTTGCTAATAAAATTGAACATTGATAAGTTTATCTTAGAAAAGACTGAAAAACATTAATTGTGACATTTAGTACTGTGTCAACAATTCTAAACAAATGCTGCATTTGAATATTTTATGATTTAGCTGCAAAATTTTATGTGGCATAAGCATGAAGAAAATAATGTTTAATAATAAAGTTAGAAAACAAAAGAAAAGTTATGTCATTAGGAATGAGTCCGAGAGTAGATTGGTAAACTATAAATTTAGTAAGAAACAAATCCATTCATGTGAATCTTTTCAGACTTTTTGTTATGTTCATAAGTTTTAAAATTTCAATGGGAAAAATTAAATCAATATGAAATTAGCAGTATTCTATCCTATTTATATTGTCTTTGTAAAAACATTCTTGGACTGAGCTCATAAAAAATAATTTATTCAATTTACTTACTATTTATGGTCTTGTCAGTACTCTTGGCTGTGTATGCATGAGTGTCACCATTTTTAGTGGTTTTGGAAACAAATAAAATTGCTTATGGGATGCCACTCAGTACATCTTGTCATAGGCATTTAAATTATTGCAATACCTCGATGCCACCCTGATAAGTATAGTGGTGAGCAAAGGTCCTTTTAAGTGGCTTGTTGTAGGAACAAAGGGATGGGAAAATTTCGGATCCATCTCTTGTACTCGATTAAATTTGAAATGAAACTGTATACAGTCAATACAGTGTGACCATACATGTGAGACCTGTGGTGACATTTTGGTAACTTGTTTACTTCTTGTTTTACTATTCTGCAATATTTCGGTGATACTTCCTCTTTAACCCCTTCGCGCCAACTGTCACGTATACGTGCCAGCAACGAACACACTTACCTACCGGCCGACACGCAGGCGTGCCAGAGCATTTTTGCGTTTACTACCGACTGGTCACGTTTGTGCCAGTACCCTGGACGTTTTTCAAACTATAATTACTGCCACAAGATGCACTGTATGTCCATATGGTTCAGATACATGTACCTAGACTCTACTCGAAATGAAGACATGACTCACATACATGTGTTTTGATTATATACAAACGGGGAACGAATTTTCCGAATGGCGTGATTTATGATGTCTCTTTAATCGCACTTTATTCGTATGTGGTAGTTTTTTATGTAAGTAGAAGTTTTATATGCCTAAAGCGTTGAGTATTTCGGTTTCAGTTCCGTTTTTAGAAAATATTAGATCTTGAGATTCTTGTTTTTACGTTTTCTGTCAAGCGTCGCAATGTTAACAAGAGCGAATAGCAGAAATGAGCAAAATATTTCAGATTGATTCTGAAATTCTGATATTGATTCTGAAAGATTAACTGAAAGACGTTTTCCAAAACTTTGTCAGAGCGACTGATAAGAAAAGAGACGACGATGCTCGTTTGTTCACATTCCGGAAAAATCCTCCAAAACGGCAAATGAGTTATTACGAGTTCAAGGATGTAACGTAGGACTGTGTGTAGACCAATGTTTTCAAATTTTTCATATGAAAAAGAGAATTTTAAGTATGTATTTATTTTCAGATGTATAATGTTAAAAGTCATAAAATGTGAGTATTAAATAAAATGTTGTAATTATGCATTTAACAAGAAATAAGGTTTTAAAGTATATATATATATATATAAATATCTATAAAGCATAAGCCGTTTAAATACTCTATAGAGCATTATTAAACAAAGTGTTGATACTTCGGAAATTTTATGGATTTAGGCTTAGTAGCAAAAAAGCCCCCGGGCCTGGAGAGACGCTCGTGGAAGACACTGCCGGCCTCCGCGATAAGCGCGCGTTTTCTCTACCCGGCTCGAAGGGGTTAATGGTTCATTTACACTGGGAAGCGAAAGAAAATTGCATAGCAATAAAGTTTTTTTTTAGTCCAAAGGGGCTTTGTCCCTGAGGAGACTATTGTTTTCTGTTTTGCAATTTTGCATTGATTCATTGTAAATGTCCTTTTCACTTTTCAAACTGTTGCCACCAAATGTTAGAGTTCTGCAATATGTTTGAAGTAATTAAATAATGAAAAATTGCATAAATGTATGTATATTTCTTGCATTGCGATAAAACAACTGTACAAAAAGCCGTCGAATTTTGAATGATGTAGTCCTACTGCTAATATGGGCATGTGGAAACTCAAATTTGGAATTTGTTTTATTATTGATTTCATATTTTGTAAATCTATAACAATTTCATATTTTGTAAATCTTTAATGAATTTTTGGTTAACAAACTCAAGGATTTCAAAGCAAGCAATGGCAACTTTGTACAGAGAAAAGCATTTTTATGTGTGTGTGTGTGTGTGAAGCATCATGAAAATATTTCAGCTGTTTGACAGTTGGGATAGATGTGATTGAGAGGCGGCATCCTGTATGAGGTTTTCCTCTTTTTTTATAACCTCCTGAATGATAACAGTTAGTTATTCTTAGATAGCTGAGAAGACTACTGTGACAATACCTAGAGCCATTAGTTGGCAAGTTGAATAAATGATTTTTTTTATGAGTTCTGGGAGTTTCTTGACAAAATTAGGGGCAGTGCTCATTAAGGATAAAAGTCTTGTTTTAACCATTTGATAAATATTTTATTGTTTTTCTCTCAGACATAATATCATGTGTATTTTATTTCTAGTTTTCAGGGCCTGGGTCCCGTCATTCTGGTGTGTCCGGCAACTGTCATGCATCAGTGGGTTAAAGAATTCCACACTTGGTGGCCACCTTTCAGAGTAGCAATTCTCCATGAAAGTGGCTCATTTGTTGGCAAAAAAGTAATTCTTAAGTATGTTAAAATTGAAAGTCTGAATTATAATGTATGCTGCATTGTAGAAAAAGAAGATTTTTGTGTCATATCTTGAAGTTTAAATTAATCTGTTCACCACATTTACCTATTAAAAGTTTTGATTTAGGTCCAAATAGCAGGAAATCTAAAAATTTAAATATATTAAACTGTTATCATGGCTGCAGTACCATTATACAGGGTTGCCAGGCTACCTGGGAAACCGGAAAAAGTCAGGAAATTTGAAAATTGACCAAAAAATTCAGGGAAAAGTCAGGAAATTTAAATATTTTAGTCAAAATCTGGAAAAGTCAGGGAATTTCATATGGCTATTCCTCCCAAAAAAGTTAGTTTTGCGCTGACGTTGGAAGTGATCATTTTCTTGGCGAATTAAGTATCGCATGAGCATCATTCTGCCAGCTGGCATAGAGCCAATTTTCGCAGCTCCAATCAGATTCTCTTGAGAGAAAGGCAAAGCAAGTTTCCAGCAACTTTTGGTTTCTAGTAACCTCAAGTATCGAGAGACTCCCATGTGCATATGCAGTGCATGTTGAACTAAGGAAAATGTGTATTCTCGTGTAAAATAAAATCTGTTTAATCATAGTATAGGGTAATATAGAAGTTAGAATAGCCTCCATGTACTATATACACAGGATTTGGGGATATTATGATGAGCAGCAACTGTCATTTTGTGTTGGCACATTTTCAAAATCGTGCCAAGGCCTTAGCGAATTGGATTTACCGCAAAATCTTTTACCCCTTTTTTTTAATAAATGCCTTATTGTCATTGCTGTAAAATAAAAAAAGTAATCAGTCCATCTAGGCTAATCATTTTAAGTAACTATATTCGCCAAATATTGTTGATTATTCTAATTCAGGTTTTAAATAATTATTATTTTTGGTTATTTGTGTCATTTAAGTTGCTCTCTCTCGATTTATTATTGTAAATAATACTGTCAGCTTTCAGGAAATTTTCTCTGCATAATCCGAAATATTCTACAGTAGGATGACATACCTCACGAAATTTAATGCACATATTTTTGCTTATGCATGCTACTAATAAATATAAAATACCTGAATTTATTATATCATTAAATAGATTATTATAGATTTTCTTCATTTAGCTGCCAAATGTCTGTAAAAAAGAATTTTAATCCAGATTGGACAATTCAAATTAAATCTTCAGTGAAGAACCTCCTATTATAGTTAGAATAGTAAGCTTGGGGTTATATATTATAATCTATGTTTGCAAATTTTTTTCAAGTGGTACCATAATTAATTTACCTCTTAGCACAGGCATTGTGCATTACGCGGATAGACTGGACTTTTCTTAAAACACACCTGGAAAACCTGGAAAAGTCAGGGAATTTAATTTTCCTGTTTGAGTGGCAACCCTGATTATATAAGCAAACAGTGACCCAAGCCTTTGGTTTCAAAGGTACAAAAACCTTTTGCTATTTCTGAAGATATGATTAATATTGACAACTTTTATTTGAAAGCATTGCTTGTATATAATTTTTTGCTCTAGCATCAGAATTTTTTAAATGCATTATCTTTTTTCCTTTTGTATCAAGATGCAGTTTATTCTTAAATTATGCTTTATTGATTGTCATTCTTTGAAAAATAAAGGCAAGTGTGACTAAAAAATACTGTTACATTATTAATTGTTTGATAAAGCATCAGATTTAGACACTTTTTCTACTAGAAACAGATAAGATGTGTAATTTTAATTTTGCTTATTATTGCTTTAGAGTCAAAAATATATTAAGCATCAAGGAATTGTTGAATGCAGATGCTTCATTGTGAAGGTAAAATTAATTTGGCCCGTGCATGACCATTATAGTAAATAAGAGAGGTTTCGGTTACAAATTGCTTGTGACTGATGTAAATAATTTTAATAAATGAAGAAGTTAGGGAAAAAGCCAAATGAGTTGCAGAATTCAAGCAAACTTAGAAAATACAATATTGCTTTTTGCAGAATTGCTATTTTATTATAAAATGCCCATCTATCAGTCTTTTATAATAATGATTTCTGATGCTCATAATATAACTTTGTGAGCTAGCATGCATTTAAATTGGTTTATTTTTTTATTAAAAAAATTTTTCATTAATACAATACCAGCATTATAAATGTAGTTTGAGTTTTTATTTTCAGACTTTATCAATTTCTTACCTTGTTCATAATTAGGTGAATTTTATTTCTGAGGCTTGGAGTACAAATTGTAATAACCATGTTTAGACTCATTTACCCAAAAGGCTCTTTTATTATAAAATAATATACATAAGATGATAATCAGAAAATAAAATATTTTTATTTTTCTTATACTATATGATCATAAAAACTTAATTTATTTTAACCATGTAATAAGTATTTATCAGAAAGATGATTAGAAAATTAATTATTACATTACAAAGTAGAATATTATATTATTACTACATTAGGAAAATTATAAAGTTGTTTTGTTTGTGTCTTGAATATTTTGTGCAGGTTTGTAATGAAATGTATTAATATCCATTCATCTTGAGTAAAATTACATACTCATCAGTTTCCACATCAGACATCAAATGATATGAACCATGTGAGAAACATGTTGAACAAATTAGAAAAATTATTAAAATATTACTTCATAGGAGATATATATATATATATATATAAGAGCACCAGGCATAATATGATCAATTCAAAGGTGGGATATATATTTAAGAACAGGCATGCCTTTTTCCTTGGCAAACATTGCATTACTTCTGTTGTTGGAAAGTGTTTCTTGTTTTCAGTCCTGCTAGATTTTTGAGGACATCTGCTTTATTTCAACTTATGAAGTCCATGTCATAAAATTTGTAATTTAAGCAGTGGCTTTCTTTCATGATAGGTGTTGGCATATTTTTAGATGGCATCCATATGAATTTCATTCGTAACCAATTCTCATGATAGTTTTAAAATTTTATGACTGTTCATAATTTTACAAATGTTAGAATTTTTGAAATGATTAGTAGCCTCACTTTCATTTATTTAGCAAATGATAAAACAATGTAAAAGGAATTAAATGTATTTAGTTGAAATATATGTCAAAAATCCTTAATTTTTACATTCTGACAGTGATTTCTGAACTGCTGTGAAATACCAATTTGTATTTTAGCATTTCAAAATACTTTTAGCATGATTTTAAACTGCTTGGCTATGGTTTGTTTTCAAATTATTTTGTTATAGTAAAAAACGGGTAATTTTTTAAAATTTAATTTATATTGCAATTATTTTGCTGTAATAATAATAATCAGTGTTTGCAGCAAATATAAAATATTTGCAAAGTAAATGTGTTCTTTAATTCTGAGAAATATTTGGTCAGCATCTAGCTTTTGCTATTTTCAAAAATAAATACAATCAATTCAGCTATATAGTCACAATTAATTCAAAATCATATCAAATATGATGGCAGTTGAAAAGAAAAAGGAGAAAAGTTGGAGAAAATTCTGAGAAAAGAAACAACCCTTATTATCATTAACAGAAAAATGAATACTATTAACAATTTGCTTATTTTTCCAAGCAGTTTTGTTTGGAATATATCTTCATTTACATGAATTAAATCAGTAATCAAAACATAAAAAGCTTACTTAAGTAATGCAAAAATAAACAGCAGTAGAAATTAAGAAACTGAATGGTTAAGAGATATGGCATCATTGTTGTTATACTATGCACTATACATTTCCATAAATTTCATATTTTACACTGCTGACTTGGAATAATAATTTTTTCATCATTTCACTATAAACATTTTTTTTTAAGACAGGGCTGGTTAATCCAGAGTTGATCATAGTATCAAACTGCAAGTTGCTTATCAATCTGGAGAAAGTACAGTATATAATAAATTCTCTTATAAAGTACATAGTAATTATTTTCCTATTCATTTTCAATAATCTTTTAGATAACTAGCAACATAGAATGGTTATTATAAAAAAGGAAATAGGTAATGATTTTAGTGAGTCAAGCTAATAATTAATAATAATAGAAATAAATAATTACATTTGCATTTAAATCTCTTAATTTGTTTATAAGTAACAGACAGATTGAATTAAAAAAATATGTATATCTTATGCTTTGCTGAAGGGCAACATATTACTTTTAAATCGTTGAGTGAATTAATCAAAATTTTGAACAAAACTTAAAATAAATAAAGAAATTTTAATTTCAGAGTTTGGGTTTCAAGGTGCAGTTGTCTAAGTAAAGGACTACACGTGTCAGATAGGTATAGGAGCTGCTGTTGTTCTGTAACACAAGGAACATACATACCTACAAATTCTTCATTATTTGATGATAGAGATATGGAACTTGATATAAGGTTTGATAATGGCAATAGGGGACTAAATTTTCAATAATGCTTTTTATTTAATATTGTTGCAAGCAACAGTTTTGTAGATGTCTTTTTAAATAGTCACAGATGAACAAGAAGGTACATTACAATCTATTGTAATTGGTAATGACACAGAGCTCATAAGGTTCCATTTTGTTATTATAACTATATATTATGATTACTTTTCCTTTCTGTTTCCCTACCAGAATGCAAATTAAGAGTATTTATGCTGATTTTTTCGAATTGTAAGACAGAATGTGTTTCTGCCTTTCAAGGTAACATGTTCTAGGCACATGCTATTCAGTTTCTATTAGTTCAGAGAAGATTGTATTTTTCAGTTTTGCATTATAGTTGCTGACATTAGAATTGTTAGCGGCAGTGATATGTTTTGAGACAGCTTCACGTTAATCAAATTATGTAGCCTTTGGTTTAGGCTTAGTTTTAAATTTAAATTTCACTGCTACTAATACATGCTTAAGTTACATTGCTACAAGTGATGGCATCGTTGTTGTTATACTATGCACTGTATGACATGTATTTTATGACAAACATTTTATGTTTGAGTTCTGATTTAATAAAAAGGTAAGAAAAGTTTAACAATAAACTTTTTTGAGACTTTGCTGTTAATTTCAGACTCAGTGATAATTCATTCTACATCTGAACAAACACTGTTAAGCAAATCCTGCTTATCACATGAGGGATTGCATATACTGCTGATACTGCTCAAAGATTAAACTCTAAAATGCAATTCACAGTATACTTTGAATAGCAGACTTTGTGAAGTACTTAGAACTGATTACCAACTAATCCATCATGGCTGACAGAGTTGTGTTTACTTGGTGTTCCATGGACATCTCGAAGGTTTTTGGAAAATAACACATAAAGCTTTGAAAATGCATTTTCCCAGAACTTACAGAATAGCATCAAATAGCCAAATGTTGTCGACTTAGTGACAAATGGTTTTGGCAAGACTTGTTGTGTGCATTTTTGCCCTAATCTTACTTTCCAATGGAGCTATTTTAATAATTTAAACATTTTAGGATTCAGAATTGAAAGATCTACTGTTCTATGTTGTAAAAAAACACTCATATACAAAACCTGTGACCAAAAATTCAGTTACAGACAAAAAAAAATGCCCAATAAAACTATTATCCTAAACTCAAAAAAAAAAGTAAAGAACACATAAATAAAACAATAACACAGTGTCACAAAAATTCACAGAAACAACAATGCAATTAAAAAAAATTAAAGTATTTACAGAAATTTATAATATCATACTTATATTCCCCTCTCATATGTTAAATTTACAATATGGAATTACTGGTATGTTTCATATAGCAAGTTTTTAATTAAAATTGTTTTCAGGAATTATTAATTCGGGCCATCAACAAGAATCATGGAATACTAATCACATCCTATGCAGGCATTGTGCAGCATCAAGAGTGCCTTCTGAATCATGAATGGCATTACGTTGTTCTCGATGAAGGACACAAGATTCGTAATCCCGATGCCCAGGCTACGCTTACTGTAAAACAGGTGTGCATTTAAAAATGTTTTAATATATATCTACAAATTACATGTAAATTCAGTTCTTTTACTGCAGGTTTTGGCATGCTGTGTGGGCAGTCACCAAGATGTCCATAAAGTAGTTTTAAAGTGCCTGCCGCTCATTTATCTAAATTCTGAATATTAAGTATTTGGACGAATAAATGCTTACAATTACAATTAATAGTTTTAGTAAAAATTCTTATTATGTCTTTGCCATTTTAACAACTGTACAAATTATACAATTAAACTTTTGACAAAAACTGAATATTAGCAGCATCTGGATGTCACTTATATGGCTATCTAAATTGATTTTCAGTTGCTAGAAACATCTGATTTTCTATGCAGCAAATCATCTTCTGTTCTGTTATCCTCATATATTCTTTCCAACCTTTGTATGCTATGCTTTACATCTGTAACCTCTATTGGTATGTAAACTTATAATTTTATGAAATTGTGCTTCGAGTTGCTGGCAGAGTATGCATTTTTCACTTCAATTTAAATTATAATGAAAAGATACATACAGTATTGCTTTTACTATAGACTGCACTAAGAAAGTAAAGTTCATTTCAGCTGATTATTGTGTGTCAGCAACATATTTCAGTTTCACAGTAAGAATAATTTGCAGTTTTCTTGCTTGGCTGGCAAAATTTATGAACTATGTGTTATAGTCATATTTTTTCAAACCTTTTATTATCTGCATAAATTAACTCTATTCTGATATAATTATATTTATTTTTGTTATTATTGTAGCTTTCTCACACTGCCTGCCAAGCTTCCTATTTCCAAAATATGCTCGGCTAATAAAAAAGATTGCTGACGCTTGATTTTACATTTATATACAGTACTTAAATAAATCCTCTTGGGGGAATATTTAATTTATTTGTGTTCTTTAATATTTATATTTTCAAGAGTGACCAGATCTGTAGGATTATATTTGTCACAATTTTAAATGATGTTTAGATATTGAAGTTCCTTCATGTACCACTAGCACATCTGCTGTCTTTTGAGAAAGATTTTCTATTAAGTGTCTGTTAACATCTGCCGGTGTTTTGCGCTATGCTTCTATAGGACAGCGAATCTCTCTATATTAGCTTTTGAGGAAGTTGGTCTGTAATGCTGTAATGGTGCTCTTCAACTCATCCCAGTTTCTTTACAAGATGAGAATATTTTGGGACACTCAAGGAATGTTCTTCCATTGTTTTAGCATCCACCATCCACTCCCATTTTTACAAACCACTCAATTCAGATCTATGCTTTATGATGGCACAATCTGTCATGCTAAGAGAGAAATGAGCTAGTACTAAACTGTTGCTGGGTAGGAAGAATAGAATTGTCTGTATTGTTTGTTAGCCTTCATATTGATTACTCTGAATGCAAAACCTATTAAATCAAAATAAGCTAAGAAAAATAAACTTGTGCAAGACTTCCTTCTCTGGCAAACTACATACTTCATATATATCTACTCCAGTAAATTGGGGTCACCTGCCAATAACTATGTTCTTGCACATCTATTGGATCTTCATAATGTATTGTATGGTTCTTCACTTTATGAGACATTCTTCCATTGTTTTAGCATCCATTGACGACAGACACATTTTATACAACTGCAGTTCACAGATGGTTTTTCATTAAGTAACCATTGACTTGTGTGTTGCAGTTCGCCTTCAGGATACAAGTGCTAATGTTTTTAGATTGATGAAACAAGAGTTCGCTTGATTTTACTATAGCTGCAGTTTTTAAAGAGACCTATTAGTTTGACAAGCTTTAGAAACATGTATGATTTTGGCATGTCAGTTTTTTTCCCCTTTCTCAAAGAAAACATGCAAAAAATACAAATCATGTAAATAAATATGAATAATTAACAAAAACTGTGATTTGTTCTTCTCTAAAAAAAATGTATTACTCTATAGCTAAAATAAATATTGTATCTTTAAAATTGTTTTTGTGTATTAAAAACCTGAAAATTTGATTATATTGGTTGCATCATAATAGACAAATTTACGAAAGAGATTTAATAAAGTTTTCATTAGAAACATTATGCATTTGGCTAATGTGTTGATGCAGGATTGAATAGCTAAAGTAGCAAAACATGAGTAGCTGCCTCAAATTCTTTCCTTGTTCGTTGGCTGCATGAGAATTTTGTTGTCCCTCCCCTCTTGTATCATAAGTAATGTGCCAAAATCTCACACAAAGATCTCTCAGACAGGTAGCACTGAAATGCTTTTCCAAATAATCTAATGCAGAGTTTAAAATGTCTAAAATGAACCAATTGTCTGTCTAAGTCAGGAAGGAGTACGTTGAAAATAAATTAATATTTTATAATTTTGTAACTCTTAAGTATATATAAGTATGATGTTTAATTTGCCAAATGGAATTTTGTGATTCTTTTCATTTGATTTGTACATATTATGAGAACTGGACTAAATATCCTGAAAAAAATTTCATAGCTTGTAATTCAATAATAACTTGCACATAACTTGTAACATAATAATTACATAACTTACATAATCAAACAACTCAATATGCTCATAATCTGGTAATACTGTATGTGCTTGTATTTTTTAAAATCATTTTATTATGCTTAATTTGTTAATACTTTTTGCTTAAGCAAAAGATTCTAAATATGGGTATTTCGGATGTACTTACTGAGGAAAAAAGATGCAGGCAAAATGTTTTAAAAATGTGGCATTCAACTGGACATTCACATTTGTAAAAACCTTCATCCAACAAAATTAATATACTGGTAAACAGGTCTTCTAGAAATATAATATTTCCATATTACATAGAACCAACATGCAGGTATTCAAATGGGAAAGTGGTTTAAAGGCAGTCAAATTTCCTTTGTAACAGCAGTGCACTTTATTTACTGGTAATGCAAAGAATTCAATTAAGTTTTGTGCACTTACATGCAAGAAATAGATGGAGAGGAAGAAAGTGAATACTTAGTAGAGGACACATCATAGAAGTTAAACAATAGTCTCTGTATCAGAAGAAAACATAGTACAGTCAAAAGTTGTTAATCCGGACTCGTCGGGACTTCGGCGATTCCGGATTATCGATTTTTCTGGAGTATAGATCATCAGTTTAAATCTGGTAAGATGGCATGCAGAAATTATAAAATTAAAAATATGAAACTGTAATTTATGAAATAAAGAGCAATTATGATCTAAAGAGTATCAAAATTTACCAAAAAAAAGCTTAATATTTATTTGTTTACTTTATTAAACATTTCTTTCAATGTAAGTTGTTTAAGTTGCTTCGTTTTATGTGATAATACTTTCTCTTTAATTCTATAAACAGGCATAATTTCTTCTTCAGTTACGCTGTTTTTGTTAAGTTCCGCTGTTGAAGTCCTTGAAATAATTGCTGTGTCGAGAATACCGACTAATTTTTTAATCGAAATTTTTTCGTTTTCAATAACCTCTGTGTCACTTTCTTCACTATCGGAAGCGAATTATAATGACAAGGAATTTGATTTAAATTATTTCAAAGACGGAGTACATCGAGATGAAATACTACATTTAGTAAGGAATTATAAGCCAAGTAAAATAAAAAACATCTGCCCTGAACATAAGGATAGTGCTGACAGATCAACTTCCAATTCATTGTGTGCTGCGGCGTCCCCCCCCCAGAGCAGCATGAAATTGATAAACAGATTTCGGAATGGTTAGAAAAACGAAGGATATGCCTTTATCCATTTTTTGCAGCAATTCCACTCTTTGTTTAATGGACTTCGAAACATACTTTCGCTTTGTAGATCCTTTACATATTAATAAATATATATCGGAAATTCTATTTGACATTATTGAAAGTTCAAGCTTACTTTTATAAAATTGCTCTAACAGTCTGCAAAAAATAATAAGCCGGTTCCAATTCGAAGATTAAGGAACAACGCAATCTGCAACATTAACTGAATTAGATAATTTTACCTTAGCTTATACCGTCCGTTATACATTAAACACGCATGCATAAAGTTATTATGCGCATTTCTGCGCATGCATAACTGCATTATGCGTTTACGCATTCGCAGAAAGTTCGTAGCTTTGAGGTCCGGATTAAAGACTTTTGACTGTATTATATTTAAACAAAATGACTGTTATGATTATCCAAAATTAAAAAAAAATTATTTGATGTTTAGATAGTGGACCATTTCACCACACAACAGTTTCTTAAATTATAATTGAAAAAAATATAATTAATAATGAAAAAAAATCCATTTTGTTATTCTAATTTTCTGCTATATAGAGTAATAAGTTTTATTTAGAATTGTGTATATAATTAAGCAATAAACTTAAGAGCAGAATTAAACAGAAATTAGATAAAAATCACGCGCATGCATAAACATATTATGCGCATGCGCACACGCATATTCGCAGCCGTAAAGGTCTTACGCGCATGCATCAACAAGACGCATGTGCAGAAAGTTTGTAGCTTTGAGGTCCGGATTATGGGTGTCTGAATTAATGACTTTTGACTGTACTGGATGAATATGCTGAGAGATAAAGTTGTTTTTTTTTTTTTTTTTTTTTTTTTCTAACCTATGACAGAACCAGAGAAATACTTAAATGGAAAAAATTATTGAAAATGTTAATTAAAGAAGTAACACAATTTAGAGTGGTGGGAAGATAGTGAACAAGAAAAGGCTGAATTTCTGCAGGGTATGATGAACCACAAGAAAACTTCGTAGATTCTGAAATGGACATCCTCACCAAAGTGTAGAAAAAGAATGTTGGGCTGTACCAGATGGCACAATACAAAACAAAAATTAACAGCCCATTTATATAATATTTCCATATTACATAGATAATGTTAAAATTCAATGTTAAGATGACTTAATGATAAGTCAATGTTAAAAGCAATAGCCATAAGATTTCCAGTAGGAAAAAAAAAAAAAAAAAAAAATGTGGCAAATAAACCAACCTGATTGTGATAATGTGTATGAACCATTCATTTTTTTAAACTTTATATTTTGTGTACTATTATTAGAAATCTTATCATTACCATTTATTTTACCTTGCTGTTACTTTTTCGGATATGTTTTATTGCTCATTTTTTAAATAACAAATGTTCAGTTTTGTATGCCTTGTTTATGCATGAACTTCTTTTAATTGCCATAATTTTCTTTCCAAGTTTCGTACACCTCATAGGATAATTTTATCTGGCTCTCCTGTCCAAAATAACTTGAAAGAACTCTGGTCACTGTTTGACTTCATATTTCCTGGGAAACTGGGAACGCTGCCTATTTTCATGCAGCAGTTTTCTGTGCCCATAGTGCAGGGTGGATATGCAAATGCCTCGAAAATTCAGGTAATTACTAATTTATACATATTTTCAAAGAAAGTTAGCATGATTTTTAAAAGCCATAGTTAATTCATTTTAAATGCTTTGTATTATCTAATGCTCTTAGTGTAACTTTTCCCTTAATGAAGATGTATACAGTCATCAGTACTTTTTTAAACCTTATAAGATTACGTACTGAAATTTCAAAATTAAAAATATTCTTTAATAATATTTTTTTAAGGAAAAGGTATTTTGCATAAAGAAAGCTTTTTTTTTTTTTTTTTTTCCCTGAGTCACCACCAAGTAAAATTTAAATGTGACTTGAAGCCAAAATGGCAAAATTTTCTGTTTAGAACAATGCTACTAATATTTGCTGTTCTGTTAATTTACTTATGATTGAAGTATTGTCATTGTAATGTAGAGACTTCATTTATGTTATTCTTCATCTAGTATTTCTGTTTAAATTCTATTAATTGGAAAACTTTGCTTTTTACATGTAATAATCACAAACTTTCAGATTTGTAGCTGTCATCATTGTGGAATTTGCTTGCTAGCTATATATTATACCAAGCATTTTAAAAAATATCTGCAGACATTTCTACTCATGATTTTTTTTAGATTTTATATTGAATATTTCTAGAATTCTTGGATAGTCTTATTGTTGCATTGATTTTTCAAAAGCTGCTTTACGACTGCATATCAGAGGGTGCAAAATTCATATAACCATTGGCTGATTGATAGATATGCCATGCCGTTTGGGGAAAGAGGAAAAAGTAGATGTTATCATTTACTAAAACTTTGATTTTTATAAGTTTCATAATAATAGATGAATTAAAATGATAAGCTGCTTCATATTAGAAAAATAAGGATTTTTTTAAAATTTTATTCCTAATAGCAGATTACAAAGACATCTATAGACAGAACAAGCAAAGATGAAAGAAAAAGCAAAACTAAAAAGAAGTCCAGAGTATAGTCTTTAACACTAAAATTACGGTGGTCTTTGTATGCCTAGAATTATGGCGGGTGTCATTTTGACCCCTTGATAAGATATCTGCATATTTCTCTATATAATATAACATATTTGTGAAAAAGACATTAAAATAATGCAAATTATGACAACTACAGTTTATTTTTAAGAATATAGAGACTTTGCAGGTATGTAGTCAAATAATGAACAAGCATTTAAATATTTCTGTCGGAAAATGTATTCCCCCCCCCCCCCCGTTTTCGATAGCTTACATTTCAGAAACACAGAAAATAAAATGTATAAATATTTACGCAAATTTTTGAAAAAAAGTGGTTTTTAACCCAAATATTAAAGTATTTTAAAACAAGCTTTTTGCTGTAAAGAGTACATAGAAATAGAAATATATAGAAAAATTTTATTTACAGATAATATATTAGTCAGCGCAGCAATTTTCACACACGCTTATCTTTCTGATTTTTTGTGTACAATATCCGCATACATATTACAGTTGTCACAAATATTAAGTTTTGTTACCTTTGCGTTTCCTTACTTGACTCCTTTTTTTTTTTTTTTTTTTTTTTTTTTAAATTCTATTGAATCTTGTCCATCCACAAAACCACTTGAGAGCAAATTTGTTTCTACTAGATATACATTCTTCTCTTAGTTCTTCTGCCAAATGCAATAGAGGATCCCTTCTGCTGATATTTTCTTTTGTAACTTCCTTATACAGAATACAAGCATTTATGCCTACTAAGTACAAAATATTGTAGAATAAATGCATTGGCCAACGGCATGATGGTGCTTTCATGGAGTACTTTCTTGTATCTTTTCCTAAATTCCTATCTTGGAGTATCTTTTCCTAAATATTTAAATCCATTTAATAAGTAGTTTGTCCTAACGTCTACTGCTACGGTACGGTACGGCAGAATTTGAACTCGTAGAAACAATTTCATTTGTACTTTCACTTGAGCTAGAGGAGGATATTGCCTGATTACTCTCTATAATAAATTCAGAATCACAAAATGTTTCATCTCCATCTTTATCTGTAGAATTATTTTCAATTTCAGAACTGGAATCGGCATCAGATAGTTCTTGCATCATTTTAACGATTTCTTCATGCATTAGTCCTTTTCTACGCGCCATTAGTATGTCACTATAATAAATTCATGTAAATAGAATAAAATTTTATACTAAAACTTGTTATGAATAATAAACAAAATATCTAAGAAAAATCTACAAAGGTTCACCTCTCAGCTCGTAATAATCTCTTTTCTCTGTTTTCTTTCCACAAAGAAAAGTATTGCACATATTTCAAATCATGTGACTGGCAGGTGTGAATAGGCAGACCCACCATATTCTTTTCCTTTGTTTGTATTTTGTTTAGCAGGTGCAAATACAAATAGTTTACAGAAGTAACAGTGTTCATGTAATACAATGGAATGTATTCATATTTCTTTTCTCTCAAAGGGGTCAAAATGACACCTGCCATATTTCTAGGTATAATCATTTGTTAGGGCTAAAATAAAAATACGATTTTCTTGAAATCTTTACTATTTTGTGAATCACAATGATTTAGGAAAAGTCAAGAAAAGATTAAGATATTTGCAAAAAAAAAAAAAAAAAAAAAAGAAGAGCTGTCAGAGATAAAAGTTTGCTAGGTGTCAAAATGACCCCTTCCGTAATTCCTAGATGTGGGGGCATCCATTTCCTCATGAAGTTGCATAGTTTACAAATTTTATTGTTTACAAGTTTTATTGTTGTTGCGATTAATGTTCATTTCATGCAGATGTTTTAAAAGGCAATCATGGCCAGTAAAAAGATGAAAGAAAGCAGTAGATTTCTTTCTGGGCTATAAAGGTGTGTCAAAAATTCTATTATTCATTATTTTATGGCTGTTTCTTTCGGTAATGTCTTTCCAAAAAGCTTCTCTGTAGTTATTTTTGATTATGCTTTTGACAATGTAAAATGGTACTTAGCTGTCAGTTGTTTGAAGAATATTGTCCCCTTTTTTCATGAAAAAAAAAAAAAAAAAAATCTGCCTTATCATTTCCATGAAGACTACAATATGATAAAATCCATTGTATGGCAACTTCTTTGCCCTCCTGAGCTAAATTGTTTAGAAACTGCTGATATTTTAAAACATCAACAGACATTGGTGATTCAAAAAAAGAAATGACTAGAAGAGCAGCTTTAGAATCGGAGAGTGTGACAACCTTTGAAAAATGTTCAAGTTGCAATATGCATATGGCTGTGAGAGTTGAATTTTAATGGAGCTGAAGTTCCATGAAATCTAATTCATTCTTCCTTCCCTGTTGTTTATGCCAACAAAAGAAAACCAATTTGAGAAATGTCCAAGCAACTATGTCTTGGGGCTTAATGTATTGCTTGTATCAGATAGAATAATGCTACCCACACTCAAGAATAGTTAAAGCTGTGCTAGTGACTAATGTATGTATAATGTTGGTTTATATACTGTCATTGGCCACAGCAAGGAGTCTCTAGTTAGCAGCTGTTTAAAAGTGGCATACAGGAATTATGGTTAAGTGAGAGAAAAATCTCTTTTATGGAACACCTGCTGGCTGGTATTATATCCAAATGCTTATTATCAATTCCTAGACCTTCTAAAAGATTTTTTTTTTTTTTTTTAATCGCCAAAGGTGCTATTAGTCACAAACCTTATTTTTTTTGTCCTTATCACCTTTCAAATGTTACTATCAAATGCTATCATTGTGTGTGAAAGAAATAGTAATATGGTAAATTAAAAATATTAAAAAGGCAGGCCTTGACTTTACTTTATAATTTTTTGGCTCTTTTGGATATGATAACATTACCTTAAACCTTAACTGGAGGGTTAATGAAGGATATAAAGAGTAGAGAAATTATTGTAAATTTTTATTGTAAATATTTGTAAATATGTATATTTAATCAATACTGGATTCTTTCCTTTTACTAATAAAGGGCCAACTCTTTTCAAAAGTCTCAATTATAGCCCGAATTGAGTGAAGATTTTAATCTTCTTCTTCTAATTTTCCATACTTTAGCCAGTATTTAGTTAAGTTTTGATATACCAATTAAATCAAGTTCATTAAACTTTTAATATTTTCTTTCATCAAATTTAAGTTTTATTTAACTTCCTAAAGGAATTTTTGAGAAATTTCTGGGAATTTGAGAATGAGAGGTTTTTTAAGGACTTCATTTCAAAAAATGTTGGGAAATTTTACTTTAAAAGTTTAATATTAAAACATTTCAGTTTTTCTTAATTACTTTAATTTTTTGCAATTTTCACAAAAAATATCTTTCACTTAAATTTTTTTAACAATTTTCACAATTTTTCAACAGAACACACATTTCAATTTACAAACAGTTTACATTTTTTTCACATACCACTTCACTTTAATTTCCTTCAAGCAAACATACATCTCTTGATTAGCTCAGTTACTTAACTCCCTAAATAATTGATATTACTACCTTTAAAATTTTTAATTTAATTAATTTAATTATATTAATATTTACAAAATTTTTACTATAACAAGATAGCAGCTTGACACTCAAACTTTACCTATATAAGCGCCATCTATATAATTTGAAGAACACACTTACTTCTCTTTCACAACACTTTTGCAGACCCCAACACTCATATAGTAGGTAAGTTAGAATTAAAACTTACTATTTACTTGCTTTAAGTATTTTTTTTTTAAATTTTTTATGTAGTATCTAAGTATTTTCTAAATATGAAATTATATTTTTAAATATATATTTATTTTAAAAATTGTGAATTAGTTCTTTTTGTTTCTTATTTCTTATTGGTTTATATGGATTATGTATAGTTACGGTGACCAGACGTCCTTTATTTCAGAGGACAGTCCTTTATTTGAAGGCTCTGTCCTCTAACTTTATTTATTTCCTGAAATAAGCATATTGTCCTTTATTTTGAGAAATCGTCGCAAAATCAAATTTCTCAAATTGGTTTTCTGCAACTCTAGATCGGAGCACCCGCAACGTATTTTTCTAAATGCCAGCCGAGCCGTACGCTGACAAATACGCAGTCGGGCCGGAGCAA